CTTTATATCTAATACAATGTCTCTGTGTGTTATTTGGGGCTGATGTGGCTGAGGGACCAGGCTGGTGGGAAAAACTGCTCGTAACACTATGTAGACCAGGCTAGCCTCAATTGTACAGAGATCTGCTGAGATTAAACACATGCACCACCATGCCCTGCCATAGTTTGAGGGGTTTTGTTTGTTGCTTGTTTTGGTTTTCTTTAAATAGAGCCAATGCCTCCTTGTCCAGAATTTCATCTTGGAGGCTATTGGTAGTTGGGTCTACAAAGCTCCTTCCCAAGTCTGTCTCCCTAGCACAGAGATACTGTGCTACAAGTGGACCTGAGCCAGCCTGGCAAGCCAACAAACAGTTCTGGGTAGCCTCAACGAGGAGAGGAAGTGAGTTTCTGTTACCCACACCGTCATTTACAGATAAGACAGACTGAATCAAGTATCACTCCAAATTCTGCCTAGCAGACTATCTTCACAAGCAGGTCCTGTGGCCACTGTATAACCTATGCCCCTAGCTCAGGAGGTGCCCATTTGGTCTTCCAGCCCCTCAGAACCACTAAATGAGGTCACTTCTGCCGATTTCTCATGCCTAGAATAGCAGCCCTCTAATGTGCCAGGTTACAAGGTCTCACAGGGCCGATCAGAGCCCAACAAGGAGGAGGAGCTCCAGGCTCTAGGAAACCATTACACAGGAGGACTATCTCTTCCCTGCACAATCTGTACTGTCTCATTTTCTGATACCTCCTTCTCCCCACCCAGGTCTCAATATATAGCCCAGAAGGCCTGGAATTCACAGTCCTCCAGCTTCTGCCTCCAAGTGCTGTGATCACAGGCATGTGGCACACACCATTTATCTTCTGTACTTTGCTCATCAGGCATTTGGAGCCGACTAGCCCATGTTCTCTGCCTTCTACCACCCCAGCACCAGGGACCATGCTTGAATCCCAGAGTCCACTGAAACCATCCAAACACCCTATCCCTAAGCTTCCTTTGTGTCCCAATCTTTCCCCTCTCCTTCCTTCAAGGATGGACCTGCTCAGCCTGTTGAGAACTGGGGCAGTCTGGGGCTTTTCCTGAGGTCCTGATGTATGGAGAAGGAACTTGGCTCCTTGCTTAAGACCAGGAATATGCTTGGTAAGGTCAGTAATGGGCTGGGAATCTGGGCCCCGAGGGAGCTGTGGTTTTGGGTCCTGAGCACCCAACTCTTCTTACCCTAAAGTGCTATGGTCTCAGTGCCAAGGCTGCTGTGTGTTTGGTCTCTGTGCCCTTGAGGTATATTGTGTTCTTTGTGCAACACTGTTTGATTAGCTTATTGCTGACTTTATCCCATTGTATAATAGCTTTTGCTGACACTGTCTCATTTCTTTCAGGAAAACTGTACATAAGATGTCACATTTCTTAATAAACTTGCATGAGCCATCCACTTATGCAAGACCTCCTGACCCAAAACTTTCCAGGCTTCTCCATCTTCTCATCCCCTGACCATCTCTCTCAGGAACTGGTCACTAAGGAATGGCCTACTGGACCAGATCACAGCTCTTTTCTCCCTTCTCCTGCAGATCCCTGTGGACCTGTGTGGGTGATGTGCCTCCTGTATCTACAGACTTGTCTCTGCTATCTTACTCTACCTGACTAAAGTCAACCGTGGCTATATTTTTAGCATATTCCCTGAAGCAAAGTCCTTCAGAGAGGGGCCCGTTTTAGAAGGGAAAGGAGAAGATGGATTGGCCTGGCCTCGTGCACCAGACACCATGTCTTTTGGCTTGCTTTCAAAGGGATCTCCAATAGGCAGTGGTTATGAGAGGTGTGATGCTTCCTGGCTAGAGGAAAAGAGTAGGTTAGCTATTATAAAGGTTTAAGTGCAGTCAAGGAAGAACATAGTGTATTGAAGATAATCCCCACAGAGATACACATCCTGACCTGTGGATCCCATGATTGTGGTCTTTAGAAAAGGGATAATTAAGAGATGGACAGATAGATGACTCAATGGGTAATAGCTCTTGGTACCAAAACTGATAACCTGAGTTCCATCCACAGGACCCACACGGAAGGAAGAGAATTGACTCGTGCTTTTTATCAACACATGCACACACGAATGCATGCACACACACACACATGCGTACACAAGAGCACATGCACACACATATGCAGGCATATACACACAATTGCACACACACAAACACTCAAGAGCACACATGCACACACATGCACGAACACACACAAAAACACAGGAGCACATACACACACCACAGGGAACACAGCCACCAACAGCTTGATTTTGAACATAGGCCTCAAATAGTGTGAAAATAAATTCTTATTTCCAACTGAAAAGTTGAAGTGTTAAATTTATTGCAGCAACCAAAGGAAACCAGTGGCCAGGAGGGGAACCCTGAAGGAAGAGATAGCCAGACATGCAGTCTTTCCAGTTGGCTGATAGTACCTCCTCCATCAGTAGCTTTCCAGTAACTTCTGAAATTCAGCTTCTACTCCATGGCTAACTCTGGGTTTGCCATCTCCTGTTGATTGGCTTCTGGCTCTGAACCATGGGTCCGCTGGCTGTGTCACAGCATGGTGAGGCACAAGAGAAGCCTATGTTGTGACTTTGTTTCATGGCTATGCTCTCAGCACACTTGCAATCCTAGCACCAGGGTAGCTGATACAAAAGGATGGTGGGTTTGTGGCCAGCCTGTGCTATGATGTACCTAGACTCTCTGACCAAGACAATACAAGAAATGACAGTTAAAGAAGCCGCAGCATTCTGAAGACTGACTCTGTGCAGCCACCTGTGATGGTTGGTTAGTTCTCAAAAATTGAGAATCAGGCATCACCTGAAAATCCACGAGGGTTGATCCAGTTCCAGCTGGTGTGGGAGAATGTCTGGATTACATTAACTGATGTGAGAAAACCCAGCCCAAGTGTAGGCGTTGGGTCTCTGGGTTTGGGTCATGGCGTGTATGAATAGGGAGAAAGGAAGCTGTGTCCATTTATCCCCTCTCTGCTGGGACAGTGATGTGACCGCTGCTTCGGACTCCTGTCACCCTGATGTTCCCCCTCTTACAGGCGCCACCTCACCACCACCACCACCACATGGAACCCTGCTCCGGCTGCAGCACCTGAGCCCTCCACAAAGCACGCCGCAGAGCCGTCTAGACAGCAGAACCAACACCAGTTCTTAAAAATCAAACTTCAGATGAACTTGCCAGGCATGATGAGATGTGCACAGGAGGCAGAGGCAGGAAGATGGAAGTGAGTTAGTTAAAGGCTAGCCTGGTCTACATATAAATTAGTCCAAGGCCATCCAGAGAAACAGATCCCAGGTTTGTTTTTTTTTTTTTTTTTTTTTTTTTTTTGTTTTGTTTTTTGTTTTTTGTTTTTTGTTTTTTCTTTAAAGACATAGCTCTCAGGGCCCTACTTTCTTGGCTTCAAAACAAAAGCACTCTGCCTTACACTGGTTTCCATCAGGGTCATCCTCCCGTATCCCCTGGAAATCAGTTCACTTCTGACACCCAGGCCTTAGCTTTCCTGTGCTGATGTCCCACTGAGCAGTATGGAGGAACAGGCCTTGGAAGTTGTGTTCTGAGGGACCTGGTCCAGGCTCAGGCCCTGTGGCTTTCTCTCTGGAACATGAGTTGTCCAGTCGCGGACCTTACAGCTGTTTTCCAAACTTATTTTTATGAAGCACCTAGTGACTGACCAGGTCAGGGGTTGGTGGCCCCTAGGACCATGTCAACCCTGACAGTGGCATAGGATTAGATGCTTCCTCCCTGCATCATGGTCGAGGGACAAATCAACTTTCGGAGACCCACACTAGATCCCAGGAGCTCCAGGGCCAGCACTCATGGCCCTGTGCTAGGAAAACAGTTGAGGGGGCAGGGGCAGTGAGCTAGGACTGGAGTCCAGCTCAGTCTATCTGGAGATGCAAGCAGAAAAATGACTTGACCTGAGCAGCCTGGCCTGGAAGGCCTGGGACACAGAACGGAGCTCATGACACCGAGGTTGTGAAGCTGGCCTGAGACACACAGCATGGGGTCAGGGAATGGCATCTGGACAAAAGAGGCAGAAGGGACAATGCTAGTACAGATTCTGAAAATAATGGGGCTGCTCACATCCTGTCCCATGCCTGAAGAGGGGTGTCAGCAGAGTGGGGGAGCATGACAGGAGGGTGGTCATGAGGGAGAGACCCAACCACCAAACAATGGCTGCCACAGAGCCCACAAAACCCGGGAAGAGGTTCACCTTCTGCCCCTATCAAATATTTTGTTATTTGCTATTTGTAAGGTGAGGATAAGAGGGTCAAAAGTTCAAAGCCATCCTTGGCTCCACAGTGAGTTTGAGGCCTGCCTGGGATACATTTGACCCTGACTCAGACACAGACAAAGAAACCCAGTCTTTGAGGGTAAGAGAAGCCTGCTTTTGCAGAGGACTGGAACCTGGCTCCCGGCTACCACAGTGGGTGGCTCACAGTCTGACTCCAGCTCCAGGGGATCTGATGGCCTCTCTTCTGGCTACAGAGAACACTTTCTCATACACATGCACAGATACACACATGCGCATGTGTAAGACAACCCTCTGTCAACCAAGAAGACTTGCTTTTAGACTGTGGGCTAGTGTTCTCTGTGTGATCAACAGCGGAGGCAGACTCACAGGCAAGTCCAGTGTTGCCTCCTCAGGGGCGAGGTAGGGCCCTGAGACCCAGGTCTGTGTTTTAGCATTCTGCCACCAAGTTACATCCCCAAACAAAACTATCATTTCTTTTTTTTTTCCCACCCCAGCCCCACTCCAACAGAGGAGTTAGCACCGAAGAACCAAGTGTCTCTGTATTCCTGTTCCGGACACTTCAAAGTTCCTACCCACTTCCTTTCCTGCACTCTCGAGATACCTTTACCAAGACTAATTCTTGTACCACTCTGAGGTTGCCAGCTTTATGGTCCTTCCAAGACACAGTGAGACTAAGTGGGCCCCTGGCACACTACAGTGCCAATGAGAAAAACTCACACGTCACACAGAGGTCATTAATGACAAGCTGTATTTGGCGCCAAGGTTTTCAAACGCACTGCGTTAAATGTGTTCCTCTCTGTATTAATGGTCTACTCTTCGGAGTTTTCTCTTCAAGGGTTCCTATATTGACTTTTTTCCAGTGTAGAAGTCCGAAAGTCCTATCATGCCATTCTTTCTAGATTCTCTGAATGGAAAACAGATAGAGATGCTATCAGGAATGTAATTTAATCTTTACAGGGTTCGATTTATCCCACCAGGTTATCCCAAACACTGGGTATTTCTGATGCCTCACCATACTACTGCCAACCAGCAACAGTTCTGAGCAGAACAACTCTATTTTCTTGTGCAACAATGAATGTTTATTTCCAGGTAAAACACCGGTTCTTATGTTAAGAAGTGGGCTGGCAAAAGTTGCACAGGGTACACCACACCGTGCTTCTCGTGACAGCCAGTGACCATTCTAACCTTCCCATGCCTCCCACAGTAATCTCTGTTGCCCACCCCAGCCCATAGGCCAGAGGGAACCAGGTCTGCAGAGCCCACATGGCTTGCTGTGCCTCAACAGCTAAGACAGATCACATATAGCATCACTATCCACAGAGGTGCGGCTATCAGATGCTCTCAGAACCAAGCAGATGGCAAATGAGTGAATGGATGGATTGTGGGGTAGAGCAATGAACTCCTACTTGCCAGACATGAGCAATGGCTCCTTCTGTAAAAGAGAAGCCTAATGAACCAGGGGATGAGGGAGGAGCAGGAGAGGCAGGAGCAAGCAGCCCAGGCAGCCTGGCCTGGCCTAGCACCATGGGCCATGCTGTCCAGGATTGGTGCATTCTAAACACTCGAAGACAGCTGGCTGGGAGATCACAGTACACCCAGCACATGCCTTGCTTAGGCCTGGCATATGGTTACCTAGGCAGCCGGGTCTGGCCCATTAGGCTTCCCTGAACCAGAACAGTTGGAATTTTCCAGGGTGGGTGCAAATGGGGATCCAGTGAGACAAGCTGGGTCCCCCTTTCTCTTCAGCCCCTCCCTCTAGGGTCATGCACCCTGACCACCTCCCCACCCTTGCCCAGCAAGCACACGTGGCAAGCCACAGAGAATCCTTTTGTCCCCTAGTCACCGCTGCACACTGGCTTCTGCCAACTCCCCTTGGCTTCTATACTTGGCTTCGCTGTCAGGCCCCTTCCCCTCCACAACCCCACACACTGTCAGGGAGCCACTCCCAGGGGTAACTGACATATCAGGAAAGAACCTAACCTCCCCACACAGAAGCCACAGCCCTCCACACCAAGACGACAGAGCTCCCACATCCACAGGGCACAGGAATGGAACCATCCAGAGGGGGATACCTCGGGTCACCTACTGTAGAGAGAAGACACCAGCCCTAGGCAGCCATGAGTATAAAATCACCTCTGCTCGGACTTTGCATTCTATCAATGCCAACAGCATGGAAATACAGTATACAGTGTGCAGATGCCATGTGCCAGCTCCTCAACCCGCAACTGTTGTGAGTGACATCAGTAACACTGTGGGTAACTTGGCATCCGTGGGCTACCGTCAGGCTGCCCACTGGTGGCAGCCTAAGCTTCATGTGTGAGGCTAATGCCACCAATGTCACTTTTTCACAAGCTATTGTTAAAAATTATCTGACAGTGCATGCTAGGATTGAGCCCCTCCAGCGACAGGACAGTCCCTCCCTCTAAATCTAGGAGATGGAATCTAGGTCCTGCCCTGTCTGACACTGAGAGGGCAGAGCTACGGCTCTTCAGCTGGTGGCCCCTGGCAGGCAGCTGCCCTTGGACTCACTGTTTGCCTTCCACCAGGGGTGAGTTCTCAGTAAAGAGAGGTGGAGGGCAGAGATTCTCTAACTCAATATGCCTAAAACCCCGAGAGCTGTACTTACGACTTCTCTTTTAGAGTGGCAAGATAGGTCTCGGTATCCGAGGCTGAGAGCTCTGGGTCCAGTGAAGACAAGTACTGGTAGATGTGGGAGAAAGTATCAAAGGGAATCTGAGCAGGCCCGCCCTCTGGGTCAGCAGTGAGGATCTCACACACATTCTTCATGGCAGTGTTCAGTGTCTAGGCAGGGAACGCGACAAGCATGGGGCACAGTCACTCCTGGAGTCAGAGATTTCAATGCAACACCATTGACAGAAAGGCAAACGTGCTCTGCAGACATTTTTCAGAGAGTATTCTCTATCTCAGAGAAGAGATCCAGGTGGATGTGTAGCTTCCACAATGCAAAGCAAGAAGTAAGGATGCAATTGACCAGTGAATTCATGCACTTTATACCAAAATGGGGATGACTGCCATAGACAAGCGTACTAGCTGTTTTTGTGTGTTAACTTGACACAAACTAGAGTCAACAGTGAGGAAGGAGAATCAGTTGAGGAAATGCCTCCAGGAGGTCCAGGTGTGAGGCATTTTCTCAACTAGTGATCAATGAGGAAGGGCCCAGCCCATGGTAGGTGGTGCCATCTCTGGGCTGCTGGTCCTGGGTTCTAAAAGCAAGCAGGCTGAGCAAGCCATAGAGAGCAGCTCCTCCATGGTGTCTGCATCAGCTCCTGCCTCCATGCTCCTGCCCGGTGTGAGCTCCTGTCCTGACTTCCATCAATAACGAATAGCCATGGGGAAGTACAAGCCAAATGAACCCTCTCCTCCCAACTTGCTTTTTGGTCATGGTGATTCCTGGAAGCAATAGAAACCCTAAGACAATAAGATATCAATTTTAACCATGAACTTTGTCCGTGTGGTTCTGGGTTTGGAATCCAGCACCATTTAACCATAAACTTTAGTCACTGCAGTTCTACCAGATCCAGAAACATACTGTTCACCAAGCCAGGGGACACAGAGAACAAGTGCCCACCAGAGCTGTCCTGTGTGACTGGCAGGACAGATGGCCCTGTGCCTTCGTCAATGCCCTGATGCTGTTTTCCACCTCACTCACACAGAAGGCTTCGGGTCTCTGTCCCTTCAGAGAACCTCAGTTAGCTGGACTATAAGGGCTCCTAGGAGATGCTTATGACCACAGAGTGTACGCATGCATGCTAAGGCAGAAAGCAGCAAACAAGAACTTAGAAGGGACTTGGTGACAGCTCCACAGCGTCCGAAGGGACACGTGCCAGCAGGCAATGGGCCACCACTCATTTCTTCTGTGGCACTGGATCCCCAGCTGATAGTGACATTTCTGGAACTTGTGGGATCTTTAGGTGGTGGGATAGAGCTAGAGGAAGTGGGTTTCTGAGAGGGCACAGTTGAACCTGAAGTCATAGTTTTCTGATCTGTGTCTGGCACCTAAGAGAATTAAAGGTGAGCAGCAAGGTCAGTGCCCAAAAAATGACCTAGGTTAGGCAACAACAAGGAACCCTCTGTGTCCAGTTTGCTTTTTTGTTTTTGTTTTTTCCGAGACAGGGTTTCTCTGTGTAGCTTTGAAGCCTGTCCTGGAACTTGCTCTGTAGACCAGGCTGGCCTTGAACTCACAGAGATCCGCCTGCCTCTGCCTCCCGAGTGCTGGAACTAAAGGTGTGCACCACCACCGCCCAGCTCCAGTTTGCTTTCTTGATATAAATTTATTTCCTAAGGACAATGCAATACAAAAGAAAATAGAACTTGGTTGTTTTGACTTAGTCATGTTTGAAGATAAAACACTCCATTCTTTACAAAATACCGCCACCTAGTGTCACTCAATGTATGCATCTCAGACTGGAGAGGTGGCACAGAATAATTCATAAATCATGAATTGCTCCATTCTTTCTCATTGCTGTCATCAAACTTTCAAGCTTATTTTAGGGGCATAGCAATCAGCATTAATCCCAAATGTCAGGTATTAATTCCATGCTACGAAAATGTTAATTTCAGAGTTCCCAGTGATCTTGGTGACACAGTTCCTCTAATAACTAATCACATTTGACTTTGTGTTTCCAGGGAATACCCCACTGGGCAGCACAGCCTCTGTGAGGACATTTGTTTTGTCCAAGCCTCAGCACAAAGAGCCCAAGGACTGACCAAATACCATGTACCCACACACTGCTGGCTGGGCATGTGGCCACCAGCCTGACGCATACATGCCTTCTCTCAAGGGCCATAACTGCCTGCTGGAGCCCAGGCTGCAGCATATCCTCTCACCTGGCCTTCACTTAGGCTCAGGCTCATCACACTCTGGCCTCACAAGGAGGCTCCAACCACACCTAACCACCTCATGCCTAAGTCCCAGGCTCACAAACTCTATTGGTCCTGAACTGAGGACTATCCAGCCAATCAAGCATCCTGCGGTTTTATTCCTAAATCCTTGGCGTTACAATGTAATGGCAGCAAAGTTACACTGTTCTAGTTATTAATACTGGATAGTAAGTCAAATGCAATGGGATTTTATATCTCTTCCCACGGATGAAAACTGTTAGCAGCTGTGAAAATTACACTGTTCATTAAAATAACTCATTGGTGTGTCCCCTTTAAACACCTGAATATATTCTAAGAGTAGCCATGTGTTTGTTCTGCTCTTACCGTCTTTTGAGTCGAGGTCCCCATCCCATAACTGAAGTCTGGAAAAACATTTTTTCTGAAGTATAGTTTTTTAAGCCCAAATTATTTTTAAGTCAGGCATATAATTATACAGATCATGAGAGAATGACTATAATATTAAGATGCTATTTGTAGGTACATACCCCACCCAGAGAGCTACATCCAAGTGCTAAAAATTTTATCCACTCAATTTTGTCATCAGATGGATCCAGTTCCAGGAGAGCTCTGAACTTTTCTACTGGCAGGCACAAATTTTTCCACTTCTTCTCAAGATCTGATAAATCCACGTACTGTTTGTGGCTACACTGTTTAGAAAACACAATATGACATGCTCAGTGTAAGTAGAAAAAGCGTGTGAAACCAAAATGATGCTTCTGAGGACTTGAGACTTACACCGTGTGCATGGGGTATGCGGGTTGTATGAGGGGGGACTGTGTCTATCCTGATGATGAAAGCTTGGAGGGAGACAAGGACAGGGAGGGGCAGCTACATGGGTATTAGCGACATTGAAAGAGAGAAAAGACTAGAGGGAAGGCTCAGTGGGCAACATGCTTATCGCTCAAATGCCCACCTAAAAAGCTGTGTGCAGTGGCATATTCTTTAAAGTCTGGGGTCACATTCTCTCTCTCATACACACACACACACACAGAACATATACATATACTAGACACACATTGAGAACATGTTCATACACTAGACACACACACACAAATTAACTTCAAAGCCAGAGCACTATGTTCATCTGTGATCCTAGAATACAGGAAGTTGAGACAGGAGGGTCATCTCAAGTTTGAGGAAATCCTGGACTATATCAAAGTTCCTGTTCCAAAAAAAATCTAGAGTATGAGAGCTGGAGGGATGGCTCATTGGCTAATAGCACTCACTAGTCACTCTGCCACTCTTCCAAAGGACCCGGGTTCAATTCCCAGCACTCACATGATAGTTCATAACTGTCAGTAACTCCAGTTCCAGGGGATGTGGCATCTTCACACACACATGCAGGCAAAAACCCCAATGTACATTAAAAACAAAAACAAAAAAACAAACAAAACTGGGCTGGTGTAATGTAATGGCTCAGCTGTTAAGAGCACTGATTGCTCTTCCAGAGGTCCTAATTCAATTCCCAGCGCCCACATGGAGGCTCACAATCATCTATAATGAGATCTGGTGCCCTCTTCTAGAATAATGGTGAACATGCAGATAGAGCAGTCATACATATAAAATGAATAAAGACTTCCTAAAAGTAAAAACAAACAAACAAACAAAAAAACAAACAAACTATAAAGTATGAAGCGTATTTGTCAGTCTTGTTGGTCTCTGGTACACACACACACACACAGAGAGAGAGAGAGAGAGAGAGCACACGTACCTGTATACACACAAACATATCCATACTCATATTCACAAAACAAAAGTAAAACCTATACAGGAAAATCTAGTTATTGGGGTTCTTTCCAAGAAAGTCATCTTTAAATGTGACAGGGCAGGCCTGGGGACAGTGCAGCTGTCCCAGTGTTGCAAGGGCACAGCACGGTAACAGAAGCATGGGCAGTTAAAAGGTTCACCCACCTGCTTGTGCAGGACTTTCAGAAGTCCCTGGGTCAGGCCTGTGTCAGTCTTCTGCGTGGCCACGGGCATTTCGATTCTGTCCTTTACAGGAAGTGGGTCTCCTCTGGACAGGGCTGAAAAGTACCTGCAGTGAGAGACATCACTGAAGAGTGTCAACACACAGGCAGCTCCCAAAGCATGCAGTGGGACACCCCAGAAAACGTGGCGGGAGCGCCCAGGGCCAGCTGCAAACAGCGATCCCCTGGACCTTTACTGGTTTCTCACAGCAGACCTGGTGATTGATATCAGAGTCTCCCAGAAGCTCCAGGTGACAGAGAACTCAGGTGGGAGCCAGGAGGACCTCACTGAACTGTGCTCATCTAATTGTTGGCCTCTGTCCCCCTCCCCCAAGAACTTTGACAATGTGGACAAAGGGACCAGAATCCAATGTTATGCTACATCACTTTTTAAAAAATATCTTTATTTTTAATGTTTATATTAAATATGTATATATACATAGTGTCTGCATGTGGGTAGGGCGAGTGAGTGCAGATGTCCTTGGAGTCCATAGGTGCCAGATGCCCTGGAGTTGGAGCCACAGACCACTGTGAGCTGTGTGACATGGGCACTAGAAGTTTAACTCGGGTCCTTTGGAAAAGCAAGCAAATACTCTTAACAATGGTGATTCATCTTTCCAGGGCCCCATGCCTAAGGCTACTCATTTTTTGACAGCTGCTTCTGAGATACTACATTAAACATTTAGGCATACAAAGGTCACCTACTTCCCATTTTCCATCCACCTCAAATCTGGCCAGGTTCTTCCCCTTCATTGTTCCTTTCAAGGACTGAAAATCCTTAGGTGAGAGGCAAGTACAGAAATGGCTCCTCCTGGCAACAATTCGAGAGTGAACTCATATCAGGGTTGGCCAGAAGTGGGTGGGGTGGGGAGGCGTGCCAGGCAGGATCTCGGGCCACAGTTGTGAACCAAACCAAAGAACTTGTGTTTGTGGGGTGGGATGACACATGAAACTGAGCATCAGGGCAACAGGTATGTATGAGTCACCAGAAATAATGTAATCCTGTAGCACAGGTGGACGCGGACAGTGGAGACAGTAGACCAAAAGAAATGCTGTCCTCTCTTCCCTCACCCCTTAGGGTCAACTCCGCCTATATGGATAACACTTGTGTCCCTCTGAGGACAGACATGAGAAATGCAGAACTCTGGCTAAAGGCTAAAGTTGTTCGCCCCCACCAGTCAAAGAAACCATGAAGTCCTTGAGTAAGCCCTTCAAGTTACAAAGTGTCATCAAATGGGCTGGAGTGAGGGCAGGGTCTTCGAATACTGTACATAAACTTGTATTGAAAAACAAAAACAAAACAGCCCTTGTCTTTCCTAAGGACTCCACAATGCTTAAAGCCAGGGACCACAATATTGTATAGGGGACGTTCCAGAACAAAGGGCAGGTGCTGGGTTCACTGGTCACCCTGATGGAGTTAAGTCCAGGCCCTGTCCCCTGAAAACTGCACGTGGTACTCTACATGGCAAGTGTCTTTGCACAATGAAGGCCTTTAGATGGGGGAAATTATCGCCAACAAACTGGATGGATCCTCAGGAGAGGGGGAGGGAGAACCCGTGGGTGCACAAGGGCCATTAGAATGCAGCTCTGATAAGCAGCTGGTCTCCCCAAAGCTGTTCCAATCGCCCCTCCAGCTTTAGCCGATTTGGGGCACTTTACCTCCAGAACTGTTAAAGATAAATGTCAGTTGTTTTAAAGCAAGTGAAGTTGTTAAAACAGCCGAAAAGAAATGAATCCGCTCTAGCTATATAGTTCAGAGAAAGTTACAAAATTTGGCTAAAAGTACTTAATTCTGGTGATTTAAAGAGTGACTAAGAGCTCTCTAGTAAAACCAAAAGAACGAGAGGTAAGATGATAATGGTATGGTCCCGGAGAGCGTTTTCGTGTTTTTCACGTTCATGTGTTAAGGTTTGTTAGCTGTGAGCAGAGCTGTGCAATTTTCCTGGATGACAGACAGCCTTTGCATACTTCAACCTGGGGAGGAGGTGGCGCAAGCACATTGTTCTAGACGGGTTCATTTATAAACGTCCCCGTGACTGATTTCTCCTTTAACTCAGAGGGGCCACTTTTCTGCCCACGGTTGTTCTGTAAGCTTTAGTCTACACGCACAGCCGAGGTGCCTGAACCGGCCGGCGCTTACCCCGCCGACCACTGCAGCACGTCCAGTGGCTGCGTACGGATGGCAGCCTTGGTGAACTGCTTCAGGATGTCGGGCAGCTCCGGGGGGATGTGGATCTGCTGCGCGCAGAACATGGTGTCGGGCAGCGGCATCGCTCTCGGCAGAGCGCGGCGGCCAGCGACGATCCGATCCGGTGTGCTGCGGGGAGGAGGCAGGGGTCAGCGCGGCAGCCGGTCTCCGCTTCTTACCGGCTCCTCTGCGCGCCTCGGGGGTACTGAGCCCAACCGCCCTCCGCCCAAGAGCGCGCGATTGTGGCGTGCGGTATCCAGGCAACCGGAGCTGCGCAGGCGCACAGCCTCGGCAAGCGAAGGGTGGACTGGAGCCCTGGTCGCGTGACCAGAGGCTTAGCCCGCCCAGGGGAGAGAAAGGGCTTGTTTTCCTAAAATACGGAGTTCGAGCCGGTCTGGACCCGCAGGAGGTCGCCAGGGTGCCTCTGGGTGTGGACTCGGCTCCATTTGGTTCACACCCCCGGCCGCCCTCAAGTGAACCGCATGTTTCCAAACCAAAGCAGCTTTGGCAAAAAACTACTGAAGTTCATAGAATGGTTAAGAACTCTGACACTGTTGACAGAAGTGCTCACCAATATGGGGGCCACAGAATTTTCTGATGCCTTAGCTATATTGCTAATATAAATGATATATCCTACAGGGGAAAATTTTTAAGCCTGGGTATAAGAAGTAAATAATGTCCATTATTTATTTAAGTAGGTTAACTTTCACTAACCTAAACCATGGTTTCTCTATTTAAAGGAATGCAACACAATGTAGGTAAAATCGACATAGTTAAAGCTGAATGTCGAAACTGGCTCACAGCGTCGTTTCAGTGACTCGGGCTGGAGCAAGGCCAGCCTGGGCAACATTTAATCTCAAAGAGTAACCAACTCTGTCCCTGTCCCACACCACCCCCACAAAAAATTAGGAGCATGACCCTAATCGGAAATACCGTAGAACAACCCGAGTACCGAGGCAATTGTTTTTTATTTTTGTTTTAGTTTTTCGAGACTGTTTCTGTGTGTATCCCTGGCTTTCCTGGAACTCAACTCTGTAGACCAGGCTGGCCTTGAACTCACAAAGATCCTCCTGCCTCTGAGTCCCAAGTGTGGGAATTAAAGGTGTGCACCACCCCCTAGCTTATTCTTTTTATTCTTAGAGAAATCTCTCGGAGATTTAAATTTTGACAATCTAACATTTTTCCCTCCTTAAGTAAATTGAATCTTTAAAAAAAGTGTGCCCTAGCCCACTATTGACCTTCAAAAAAAAAGTTTTCCATCATAAGGCTTTATTTAGTTAGGGCTGATCGTTTTTCCTTTTATTAGTCCTCATCTTTGGTATTAATTGGTTAGCTTTTCAGTCGGCAACAGCCATCCGATTCTTAGTTTTTCAGCACCTATAGTCTTTGTGAGGAATCCACTGTCTTCATATGAGAGTGTCTGCTTTACCAGACCCACAGACAGCTGCAAGGAACTGGCTTCCTAAGTAAAGAACAAGCTTGTGGTTCCTGAGCAAGCTGCTCCTCCTCCAAAGGTGTCCTAAACAACCAATAAATGGCAAGCAGACTTAGGCAAAGGAAAAAAAGTTCATAAATGGCTAAACAATGTGAACTGATGAAAAGGGACCTGACGGAGTCTTGGTGCCGGTTTACCTATGGTTTTAAATGAGGCAAGTGCCAAGTAGCCACAGGCAGCAGGAGGGTGATGGGGGAACCAGGCGTGTATGTGTGAGGAGCTATTGATCCCCTGCCAGGCAGATAAGCAGCTGGATCCCAGCAGTCTCCCTGGAAGCCCTATGTGCCAGCCCAGGTGCCTGACTTATCCCTCCCTTCCCATCTTCTGGTCACTGCTGACTGTGGTCCTTGAAGGCAGACATCTTTCATAGAGACTAATTCGTCTGTCCCTTGACAAACTAAGTGTCCTAATCACTGTCTTTGCAATGGGTGGACAGGGAGGACTAATGGCAAATTGTTTGAATATTGATTTACTTTGATGAAGACTTCACAGATTAAAAGATGCCTGTGATTCAAAGGGCATTTTCTCACCACTCCCACATTAAGTGGCAATGTATTTAAATAGTGGAGATAAGAAAAATGTTGAATGCTTTTGAGAATATTGAACTTAGAAAAATTAGTGGGGTGGTGGCGGTGCATACCTTTAGTCTCAGCACTCAGGAGGCAGAGGCAGAGTTCATGACCTGCCTGGTCTACAGAGCAAGTTCTAGGACAGTCAGAGCTCATGTAACCCTTCTCTTGTCGGATATACAAGCAATGACAATAAAATGGTTTATGACATGCCCTTATCAGTCTCCATCTCCAAGAGAAGGCTCATGACGTGAAGATGAAGGAAGTGGGCAGCTTCAGTCTGTGGTACAAACTGAGAGGCTTCCCTAATTCCAGTAGAAAGTTTTCCCTCAAGTGCAGGAGCAGGGACAAAAGTGTCATTTGCAGCGACACCTGCCACCCAGTCAAAGTAAGAAGGTGGGGGACTATGCTGTCTTAACATCTTCTTACAATTATGAACATCTAGGTATTTCTGAATTGTTATTAGTTCCTTTTGAGGTGTGATCTTTCTGTTGCCAAGGCAAACCATAGCTAGGTTATACATATACCCACAGTACCTAACTACATCATACCTTTGCAAATTAAAAGCAATCTTATGTCAAAGTAAAAACACATAACCAAAAATAAAAAGAGGCTACAACTAACATTCATTTTATTCAATTCTGTTCTCTTAACTCAGAAGGCAACAAATGACCACATAAAAAAGGGAGCATTTTTGAATATATATATATATATACATAGAATTGACCTGGGTATAGGTGTTTATGGTAATAGAAAACTAGCATCCCACATCACTAAGTGTTCTATTTCACTCCTATAGCAGACACTCCGAGGCCTTAGTCATTCATGTCCACCTAAGGTACAACAGGACTGCCATGATTATAAAATGAGGCACTCATACAGACAGACAGGAATGGAAACACACATATCCATGTACACTGTCTATCTCTAATGCCAGAGCTACTGTTGAAGAGTATCTGAAAGAAGCCCTTACTCATGACAGCTGTTTAAAGATTTGACACAGCATAGACAACGCTGAAAACAAACATCTGACTGACAGGGCAGCTTGAGCAAAGAGCTTAGAAACCATAAATGAGGTCTTCAGTAACACTTCAGTGGTAACTCTGCTTTCATCTTTTCCTCTATACGACTCAACTTCTAGGATTGATTTGAACAAGAACTTTGAACTTCACATGTAAAAGTGAGGCATCACAGTAACTAGCTGGAGAGTACCCATCATGGAAAGGAAAGGAAGGAGCTACTTTGTAGCACCGTGACAAATGCCAGAGTTCTTGTATAAGGTCACCAGCTCCTGTGTCTGCAACACAGCAGTGTAGAAATGTCCAAATGCATCTTTTATGTTCGTCTTAAAAATTCATCAGTACAACCTAAATTTAAGAATGTACTTTAATGGAGCATCTGTAACACAGATGACACACCCAGTAGGCAAATTATCATCAGAGGAGTTACTCTGCTATTTGTGTGAGGGGACAATCTAAGATTTCACAGGAATAATAATTAAACCAAATATTGAAATAAAAATCACTTGTTCACATCTGTAATAGAAATGTTCTATCTCCTTCTTTCCCCCAGAGCATGGGAGTGGAGGGTGAGGGGACCACAACTATAAACACATAAATTTAAGGCTAGCTACACACAAATTTTACATTGGCGTTTTCTTCAGTTTTCATCTAAACTATTAGCACTTTGTAGTTTAAAAATCAATCCATAATTCATTAATAATGAACAACTACACATTTCAAACTGACCATCTGATAACTTGTCATGTAAAACTAATCCTAAATGGTGATTTGTCTTCAAATTACAAGTAATAAAGCACAGAGGTCTTTCCTAGTAAACTATCTTGAAAACTGACTGGATTAGCCCAATTCAAAATGATGCAGAACTCTTTAAGATCCCTGTAAAAACAGGCAGCAGACAGGAACACGGTTAGGATATTGATGAATAAAACTTGTATGCCACCCTAGCAATTGTTAGGCACAATAAAATCTTATGAGGATGTATCTCACTGAAAGACACAACTAAAAACCCTGGAGGGATTCCTCAGTAAGAGCACAGAGTCTCTTAAAAATAAAAGGGGAGTGGGCAATTTTTGGTAACCTGAACTGTTTGTGTTTGTTTTTCAACAAAACAAGGTTCATTTAAAATTTCAGAGGATTAATACTTTTTAACTTTTTGTGGTAGGTCCATAAATTCTTTAAAAATGAAATGTAAATAATGTTATACCCAATTCACTGACATCTTTCTCCCCCAAAGATTAGGTTTTTACAGACATATCCATGACAGGTGGCACCGCATCTTAAAATGCTAATTCTCTATAACAGGACTATGTCTGTGAGTGAAGGTGGGTTTGTGACAAGGACAGAACTTTGCACAGAGAGAAAGAACTGCTACAAAGTGACAGACAGTGTTAACACTGGATCCCATGGCAAGCACTGCTTTTGTTTTAAATATACTGTTGTTTTAAAACAAAGTATTTGCTTATCACTTAGTGAATAAAAAAATAAACAAAAGCAGAACACATTGCTCTTAATTTTGGTAGCTTATGTTTGGCTTTTGTACTGGGGGGGGCACAAAAATTCACACCTTTTCACCTATGGGTTTTAATACTCTGCGGAATTCTTTTATAGTCTAGGAACGCTTCTAACACTACCCTTACAATACACCTTTACCATTAAACACTTGGATGATGGACAAACCATCCTATTCTTTGAAACTTCAAATGTGAAGCTTTGGCTAAGAAACTAGGCTTGAGTGTTCAGTTCTCTAAGACCTCACAGCACCTCTGCAATGCAACTCCTTCCTATGGTAGAAGACCAGCTCAGTCTGCTTCCTTTCAACAAAAGAAACTGAGTTTTATCTGTGTGGTTTCCTGCTGTAGTCTCTGAGCCTCAGCTGCAGTGCACTGACCCCACACCACAGCCTGACACTAGCCTCCGACCTGTCACAATTTGTATTATTTGATGTTATCCCCTAAGATTTCTCAGCTGGCATGACACTTTTGGCCACTGCTGACAGAACAAAGAGCTGTATGAAAAGGAAGGAGGCTAGTGAAAACCTTCACTGCTAGTGTATCTTTCTAAGTATAGACATGCTCCTAACAAGCACAAAACCCCAACTTCCAATGCTGACCATTAGGAATATTAAATTATCAAAATTAAAAATAATTTCCTCATCTAGCACAACATACTATACAATATTACAAACATGGACACATGAAGACAATCGGGCAGTAGAAAATGTACAACAGCTTTGGTGTTACACGGAATAACTTGCAAACACGACTGTTTGTGAGGCACTCTGTCCACTGCTTGTTTGGCTCCTGGTAAGGACTGACCAGCCAAGAGCAGGACGCAGTTAGTTATCTGGTGAGAATTGCTGGCAACACCATGAACTGTGCTCCACAAGCTGTCACTCAAAGTCTTGCCTATGCACTACTGCTCTGTGGCACATGTCCTGTCGAGATCACAGCAGGTCCAAAATAAAGTGACAACTAGATTTAATAAATTAATATACATTTGTTAAAGATGTACAATGCACATTCTGTTTAATCCAAGGTTTTAGGGCATCAAGGAACTCCTATTTACACATGTACAGATCTCAGACAGCAGTGATGTCGGCAGATGCAGGGAGCAGCAGAGTGCCGGACGCGCTGCCCTCTGAACGCTGAGGACACAAGTCAAGTACGTTTAACTTAAAAACAGCGCTGGGAGATCACGGGAGAATCTCCAAAGTGAGAGTCCACAAAGAAGGACACGGAAAGGCAAGGAGAAGGTCAAGGAGCTGAGACAAGCACTTTATTCTTGGGACGACTGTGGAGGTGGCGTGGACGGGCCTTGCTTGCCAGATTTGCGCTCATAGTTCACCAGGCGCTGCCCCACAAGGTACCTAGAGTACAGAAACAGGGAGGTTACTTTCCTGTATGACTCACACATACACTGTTCTTCCAGGGAGCAGTCAGGGAAGCCTTGGTAAATGTGTTCAGATCCACTTACTAGCATCCCTTCAAAAGGTAGGACCGAGAGGAGCATGGTGGAGCAAGGTCTTATATGCAAGGTAGGGTTTGTGGGAAAGACAGTGCCAGAGCCGTGGAGACTGCATGTGATGTGTGGTGGTTGTCAGAGGGTCTCAGAACTGCAGACAATGGCTCCAGAGTGGGCACAGCAAACAGATGAGTGTAAGGTGTATGGTTTTTTCGCCTGTCGCCGCCTGGTCTTGTCCTGCTGCCGCGCCAGCCCCAAATAATACACAGAGACTCTGTATTTGATATTATACTGTTGACCAGGTACTAGTTTTTTATTGGCTAGCTCTGTCTTAATTATTAACCCATTTTTGTTGATCTATGTATTTTCACATGGCCTTCTCTTACCGGGGAGGCGGCTGGCGTCCAGCTCTCTCCAGACTCTCCATCTTGACTCCTCCTTACTACTTCCTATTTCCTCCTTATCTCCTAGTCCCTCCTATCTTCCTTTCCTATTGGCCAACAGTGCTTTATTTATTAACCAGTATGAGAAACATATACAGAATGACATCTCCCATCAGATGAGGGGCATTTTCTTTTTTCAATTTGTTAGGGTTCACACTATACAAACCACCTTGGTGTTCAGATATTAGGAAGCAGACTACAAATGTGATGGGAAAGGGCTGAGAAATGAAAGCACCAGGACTTGAAAAACTCTAGAGCAAAAGAGTATTGAAGGGCAGGTTTCAGCAAGGTCAAAGGCAGCTGGTGAGACTGATTCATTTGAATGCACAAAGAATGCTGCTCACCTGCATGCTGAGAAGAGGGAAAAGGCAGTGACAAACAGGGTGGACTATAGCAGTGAGGCTGCAGAACCCCATAAGGAGACCTACACTCCCCCATGCCACCCCCAGCAGGGAAGAGGAGGACCTGCAAAGAGGGTTGAGTAAGCAGATGTCCTGGAAGATGGCAGGTGATGGCAGCAAGCTGTCAGAGCTGGGCACAGGTATGTGGAGGCACCCCTGAGATGGGCCACAAAAGCCATACATGTGCGGGCTGAGACTGAAAAGTGGGGCCTGCATGCAATGATCTTTCAGGAACAGAGGGCTGGGACCCCAGCTTGCTTCTTGGTGACACAAGAATGGTAATTTTGAGGATAGAAAAGTGCATGGTGAGAGGCTCAATGCAGTTAGGTCTGGATTCTCATGTTCACCTTCTACTCATTCCACCCATCACTTCTCTGTCAATGCACACGGTCCTTAAGACATGGCCCAGCTTCTGCCTACATCACTGCTTATAGGGCCCGCAAGTCTTAATGACTCTGTATCCATGACCTCAATATCTTAGTTCCTCTTTTCATGCATAGCTCTTTTCTTGAAGGTAACCATTTCTTCCTCCACTGCTCCCCAACAAAGCAGTGATGTTTGAAATGGAAGATTCGAGAAATATCGTAAATGATGGTGCTATCTGAGAGAATACAAGTAGCCTAACCCAACACACATCATCACATGCATCAGGATATGTTACAAATGTGGGCAGTGCCGTGGCAGTGAAAAAGCAAAGAAATACAAATATATACAGACTAAGTGATGGTAATTCGCCCCAGACCCAATTCAATGACAGAAGCCATCCTGATGAACTCATATTTCACTCTTTCCATCTCCCTCCTGTACCCTAAGTCCACGCCCCTCTTGCTGTACCTCCTACACACAGACAAAGCTATGACAAACGGTACACGCACATACAAACAACACGTGCTACAGAGTGCACTAGGCCATGGACTAGAAATAAAGAGTGGGAACTAGGAACCCAAGCCTCTTTTCCTCTCTGTAGCGTGAAAGCAGAAAGGTGGTTACAGAAGGGAGAGAAGGGTGACTCAGGGGGCAGGGGAGAGAAACAACAATGACACTAACTAAAAAATAAAAACCTAAGAGACAGGTGGGTCCAGAGACAGCTGGAGAACACTGAAGAGTGTAGGGGGGGGGGGTCCTCCAGAATGAAAAAGGGAGAGGGAGTGGTGGTGGAGGGGTGCTCCTCTACACGCCGCGAGTGAGTGAGAACTGGCCACACTGAGAACCCTCCTCTTGGACCCTGCAGGGGTCCTTTAAACTCTGACTGCTTGTACTTACATTCTTTAGAGAAGCCATGAACAATTTAAATTTCCTTTTTGGAAACATTCCTCCTAAGTATGCTCAGAACAAGGAAGGTGGCTATGGGATATGTCTCAGACAGGGCACGCAGGAATCAAGGGCGGTGCTGTTAATACTGCAGTGATGGCTCCTGGGCAAACAGGCACAGGAGGGATAAACTTGCTTTCTTTGTGACACATGAGAGCATAGGACTCAGACTTCTCTGAAGCCCTGCAAGTTCCCCAGTTCTGTCCTTCCCAGGGTGCCCTCATCTCCAGTCATAAACAGTCCATGTACTCAATCTGTTAGGAAGCCCCTGCTAATGTGACAAAGTACGTCCATTTCATTTTTCTCATGTGATTTGTCATATTGAGCACAAAACCCACAAAATGACACCACCTTAAGAGTGGCTAGATGAAAAGAATTCTAGACTTACTTGTCATTTTTAATGTGCTCATAAAGGCGCTTAAACTGGCGAACCTGGAAAGACAGGATCCCCATCAACACAACGACCATCAGTAAAAACGGGTAAATCCGCCGGTGAACTAAGTTCTGCATTTCCGCAGTAACACCTGGCAAACCAAACAAAGACAATTTTATTTTATATTTTTTTTTTCAAAGACAATTTTATTAAAGCAAAAGAAAATGGGCTATGGGCCTGTGGACTAGGATGAGGTCCAGCCTTTCCTAGGAAGGGGGTCTGAATGTAGGAGAGAGGCTTCACAAATGTGCTGATAGACTTAAGGACTACACACAGGCGGTGAGCCACACACTAACATCTGCTTCTCTTCTGTGAAATAACTTGAGTGCAGGTAGGTGCTGCACAAGTTTTACCAAATGCAAACATCCTGGTCTCCATAAGCAGTTAAAGGTGTCATTTATGTGTTTCAGCTGTAGTACCATTTAAAAACTGAAAAACTGTGCTTACATAGAGCAGGGAATAGAGCTCATTGGTAGAGTACTTGAGTGAGTCCTTAAGTTCAATTCCTAGCACTGAAACAAACAAGAACCATGCCTGTAAGATGGAAGATCTGACTAGAGATGTCAATTGGCACAGTAGTTGTCCCGCTGGGTTAGATACCCAGCAGTACTACATAAATCCAGGCATAGGGAACACACATATAATCCCAGCAGCAGGGAGACAGAAGCAGAAGATCAGAAATCTCAGGTCCTCACCTACACAGCAACTTCAAAGGCAGCCTGGACTACCTGAGACCCCGCCTTCCCACAATCACAAACAGTATATAATCAAACATGTATTCATTTTTATAAAACCAGAGGAATATTCTAAAGAAGTCTCACAACTGCTTTACCCTAGACATCACTTGTTACTGTTGCGAAAAAAACATGCACGATGGAGCCCGATGGAGCCCAGCACAGCTCGAATCTCTCTCTCCTGCTCTCCTTGAAATCTGTAATTGGGGAAGATGCTCAATTTCTACGGACTTTAGTGTCCTCACCTCTAAACAGAGTTGATAAAGCCCTCACGAGGTCTTCTAAGAACAAGAGATGGGATGGGGAGACGGGCTAGACAATGCAGGACCTGGGTCTAACCCCTGAACCCCCATGGGAAATTTTGGCATGATGCTCAGACATGTAATAACATTGCTGCAGAGGCAGAAACTGACAGATCCTTGGGGGTTCAATGGTTAGCCAACCTTGCCAAATAAGTGAGCTTCACACCAATGAAAGACCCTGTTTCAAAATAAGGTGGATGGTTCCTTGTTACCTAAGTAACAATATCCAAAGTTGCTCTCTGGTTCACACATGCATGCACATACACCCTTAAAAATAGTAACAGAAACTATATAAAGTACCAAGACAGGGCCAATAAGTGCTTTATTATTCATTTACTACTGTTAACCCTTTTATTAAGAGCTTCCCAAGAGATATAATAAAATTTACTTTGCCCTTTTTTATTGAGACGGGATCTTGATGTACAGTGCAAACTGGTCTCACACTTAAGATCTTCAAGCTTTTTGGTCTCCCAAGGGCTTGGATTATTAATTACCCATCCTGTGTCTTCAAAATGAAATTTGTTACCCATATATGAAAAATTTTAGGTGTGGAAATCAAATAGTAATATTATGTGTGTGTGTGTGTGTGTGTGTGTGTGTGTGTGTTTCAAGACAGGGTCTCACTATGTAGCTCTTGCTGTCCTGGAGCTGACTCTGTAGACCAGACTAGACTCAACATTACAGAGATCCTCCTGCCTCTGCCTCCCAAGTGCTGGGATTAAAGGCGTGTGCCACAACAGCCCAGCTTCAAATAATTCTTAAGTCTACATATTAATGGGCAAACTGTAATATATCTCAAAAAATATAATATAAAAAAGCTAGTAGGCTATTCCAAACAGCCAAAATGGCAACAAACTAGCTTGTTTAACATCTGTATTTTTAGTGTTCTAATAAGAGCATCACCCACCTAGTAAAGGGACCACACCGGAGGCTATGACGTACGGTACACACAGGGAAAGTAAGAGCACGGAGATCACCGGAGCTGCCAGCTTACGAATGATGTAATGCAGGTCGATATTCCGAATGCCATTTGCGTAAACCTGAAACAGAGACAAGTAATGGTTAGGGTGCGGGACACTGAAAAGTCCAGAGGATGAAGGTGATTGCCATCAAGTCAAAAGCCTGAGTTTGATCTCCAGAAGCACATGACAGCAGGAGAGAACTGACTTGCCCAACTTGTCCTGGGACCTTCACATGAATGCTGTGGTACCCAGGAAACCCAAATTATCTTAGAAAAATGCTACTATAGTGCTGCAGGGGGGAAAAAAAATGGATGAAAGTGGGAAACCTTGAAAATGGGAAACACTGTTGTAGACAGAGGACTAAGACAGAACTGTCTTTTATTTTCTTCTCTTGGCTTCACAGCTTCTTAGAAGCCAAGATGTGAACTAACTCAAACCCTTACTCTGAGATCTGAAGAACAAGCAGGATTAATAAAGACACCATAGGTCTACCTCCCATCAAAGCTACCCACATGTACCATCACCAAGGAGCAGGCACCCCAGGGTTTCTCAGTCAGCCTTCATTACTGTTTCCCATCTTGTGCCCCCTTGCCCACAACCCCCCCTCTAAAAAGCAACACACAAAGGGACCCACAAACAACAACAGGTACAAATGAAACCATCTTTGCAGAGGTCAGAGTTTCAACTGGGAAACACGACAATGACAGGCTCTTACTTCTATGTGAAGGGATATGCTGCCACAGGCACATACATCCTGGCCTTCTGATGTGCTACTTCCTGGCCCTAACCCTACTAAGAAGGGCAGATGTCAGCTAGAGACAAAGGACTACAGGAGACAACATTCATAAACCTCATTATGCATGCTTTTTGAAACAGGGTTTCGTGTGGCTATGGCTGTCCCTGAACTTGCTACGTAACTGAGGATGATCTTGAACACATGATCCTCCTGTCTTTCACATCTCAAGTGCTGTAAATGCAGGAAGGCAGCCATCACCATGGGCTATTAACTGCTCCTTTATGTATCAGTTTTTCCTCTTCTCCCAATATGCTGCCTGCAGTTCCAAAATCCCTTTTCTTTGGCTTATCAGTGATCTAAAATTTTGTTAGTCTTTATTTAAAAGCATTGTATCAGCTAGAATGCAAAGTCACCTTTTTAATAATTACTCATTCTCAAGGCATAAATTATTTTAACAGTCATAACGAGAAAAACTACTTCCTCTTTAAAACAAAAAAAGACCAGCAAGTTGGTAAAGTGGGTAAAAGCATGCACACATGTGTGAGTGTGCACACTCATATACATACACACTTTAAAAAAAGAAAAAAATTGCATGTGCACATTGATGGAAATAGAGTTCAGAAAAGCAGAAACATTAAAATTCTATTAGCTAAACACAACCACAACACATCTTTCTCTGAAACTGGCTACTTACCTGTTCGATGACAGTTTTTAACCACCACTGAGGACCCATCAGAGTTATGGCTGCAATAATTTTGGCATGCAGCACTCCCAGTGCCCAGTCCTATGGTTGGAGGAAACCAAGAACACTTAGCAAGCATGTCTTCCCTGCCTTTGATGAAGCCTACACAATGCTGTTCAGTTTCAGAACACAAGCAGCACAGGATTGGCACCACTTAGTTAAACAACTGACAGCTTATAGCTTCCAGGAGAGAGAGTTCTATGCTGACTGGGAGGGAGGCCGAGACAGGTAGATATCTGCAAGTTCAAGGCTAGTCTGGTCTACAGTGTGAGTTCCAGGACAGGCTTCAGAGGTACAGAGAAACCCTGTCTCGAAAAAACATAAACAAATTAAAAGGTTGGGGGGGAAGGGGCAAGGTAATTCTATGCTGGTGGGTAAAGGCCACACACCTACGAATATATGGGCAATACATATTTGATGGATTAAAAATCCATCTCCCCGAAGGAACAAATTTGGGAGCCAGTTAGGGAAGGGAGAGTGAATCTGGGAAGAGTGGAGGGAAGGAATGAGCATGATCAAAATATACTGTACAAAACTCTCAAAAAACAAGGGTCAGGAGATTAAGATGTAAAAACTCATCTTTTAGAAACCTACATTATTTTCTCGAGAAAATATAGGAAAGTCTGGACATTAATGAGACTCCAGTAAGCAAATAAAACAAATGCTATTATTTTATCAACTATGTTTTGTTTGTCCTGTATTATTGGTTATGAACTGAGCTAACTTATGTTGTAATAAGACATTTTGGCCCTAATAAATTATTTCAAAGGCTCACAAGCTCAGATGTTTGTGGTTTTCCTGAACTGTACTAGACAGACATGGACTGTTTTCCATTCCCAGCACCACTGAAATCAGGTCCCCATGGTGCCTGCCTCCACCCTCTCTCCTTCAGCTAGCCAGTAACTACCCTGCCCCTCCCATCCCACTGAGGCATTTTAAACAATGTATATCAGACCCTACAAGCACTAGTCCCTGCTCAGAGCCGTAATCCTCACCACAGCATGAAATACCCCCTCATATTTTTTTCTTAATTTCATTATTTTAGGGAGACAGGGAACAAGTGCATCCCATGGCATATATGTGGATCAGGTCTTCCATGTGAGTCCTGGACAGCAAGCTCGGTGAAGAGCAACATTTCAATCCATAAAGTACTCTGAGGAAGGGATCTATGTGGTCTTTACATTTTAAAAGCAAGAGCAAAGGGCATTCTTTCAGCAATTTTACAAGGGTTCCTAGAATAGAAAAACAATCTTCCTAAACCAACTGCATAAAGTGAACTAAAATAATCAAACTTTTTTTTTTCTGATTCCAAAACATTAGCAGCATTCATGAAGATAAGACACACGTACCTGCCAAGGGTAGAAGAGGGGAGTCTGATCAAGAGGGACCCTCAGAGGAGCAACAATCACCAGCTCAAACAGGAGGCCCAGGAGCAGCGGGACCACCCCAGCCAGCAGCACAGCAACAATCAGAGTCTTCATTATCTGGTAGGAAATGGGATACCTAGTCACTACAGAAATTCTGTCCCGACAAACTCTAGTCCACTGTCAGGCTGTTTCTCTTTGGCCTGATGCCCAACTGGGAAACCATATTATTTTAAACAACATATACATATGTTTTTATGTTAGATATTTCAGTGGAGTTTCTTTTTTAATGCATACATGGACATATGCAAATGGAAGCCAGAGGACAATCTCAAATGTCATCGGCCTCCTTTGAGAAAGTGTCTCTCTGGCACAGAACTCATCAATGAGACTAGGGTACTCTCCTGCTTGGGCCTCCTCATCACTGATTATAAGAACACATCACCACAACCCGCATGGTATGTGTGTCCTGAGGACTGAACCTCCAGCTGGTTAGGTAAGAGTTTTATCAGTCTAGTCATCCCCAAACCCATCATGCATGTTGAAATGCATGAATGTAGAGGTCTAGCTATTTCTACTATGGACTGTTGCTATAAAACAGATTTTCCCCCCAAAATTATTGATTTACTATTATATACAATTAACAAGTTAACTGCGATGTTTTCCTCAAAATATCCTTTTCAGTACTTGACTTGTTTGCCTGAAAAACCTTCTGATTTGCCAAAACACTGATCCAACAGCTACCTAACTCATAAGTAGATCTGAGAGCCGTCGGGTGAAGTGGTAGTTCACCCTAACATTAGTTCAAGTAATGTGTCGAGATAATCAGACTGACGAAGAAATGATGCCTATCTGGTTAATACATTAGCGATTACAGCTGGTGTATTCACAATGCAGTTTTAGAATTTGGATTAAGTAACAAAATAAGAAAAAACTGATAAAAGTAAAAGGAACTATAAAATACTTGCAATGAGATCTGTCTTAAAGTGGCCTTGGGTTCTGGTGACCTCTTTATAAGGTGGCTTCAGTGGATACAACTATTCTAATATATTACCAAACAGGATATTGGTAGAATACATACTACCTTTTTACATGGCATTTGTGAAGATATGATAGACTACCACATAAAACTAAAATTAGCTAGTCTCTGTATTAAATATTGTTAAGTTGCTCATTACCTTAAGGACTAAGTAGAAAATCAACTCCCTCCACTCGTCATCTACAATACATCTCTTACTACATACATTAATTTTATCAACACAGTGATTGTACAATGATGGAAAAGTGAGATACGCTAGTCTGATTACAACAGACCTCATATACACAGGTATTACTGAGTTAACATGTGGTGCCAAACAGTATGTGCAAATAGTAACGAAAATTATAAGACATTAAAAAGGGTTTCAGCATAAATATGAATGTATAGACTCTAAGAGAAAGCAAACTATAAACTCAGATACAGAAATCAGAACTGATGATCCAAATTACTAGGCAAAGAGGCACCCTCCATATTTACAGGCCAGGCAACAGTGTGTACAGGTGTTGATCCCACACTCAGATGGGGATCTAAGTGTCTTCGACTCTGTGTGAAATCAGGGTTTTGTGAATGACTTCCATTACTTGTGCATTCGCATCTCCAAAAGCATTTTCTGTAACTGTTAATGATTTTATGAGATCACTTAGCAGCACATTGTTCTGTTAACTCAAGTGCATCTAGGTACAAAACTGTGGTTTTCAAGTGAAATAGAATGTTACTATCTTAAAGGAATATCCATTCTGATTAAAAAAGATAAACTCTTCTGAAAACAAGTGACCTGAGAAGATAAATGGGAAACAGCTATATTTACTACTATCAGATAGCATCAGTATATCTTATTACAGAAACCTACCATGAGGGACCACTCTTTAACCTTCTGGAAAATCACTCTGCGTCCCTGAGGCATCCAGGCTACCAGCACCGTCACCGCCCTTATGGTTAGCCAACATACATAAAGACCACAAGCAGCAGTATACAGCTCATGGATTTTGGCAGTCCCCGTCCAAAATGACATTAACCAACGGCCAGCAAATACTGAAAATAGAAAAGCTGACAAATGAGACATGTGGCTAGATAAAGAGAACTACAATCTTGACATTTTATAAATATTTTCACATCAGAATAAACAAAAACAATTCTCTAGAAAACAGAATTACTTGATTTTGAAATACCCCAAACACAATCAATGAGCTGATTCTCCCAGAATGTGTGCCCTGATGTGCCATGCCAGTTACTAATTTCTCCAACCCTGGGAAGTTATGAGCACTGATGCTTTCATTATTTTTACTGCCAACTAAAGTTATGCTAATAGGAAAAAGGTAGAATTTATCTATTATTTGTGTTGTCAACACTTTATCTGGGAATCTTGCAAACAATTTAGGCTAATTTTCTTCCAAATAATCCATGTATTTGCACAGAGAACTTAGCTTTTTAAAACAAAGGAGTAGGTACAATAACATTTCAAAACACAGTATCGAGGAAAACTGCATAAACTTCCTTTTAAAAAGTCAACACCGATACAGAACAAGACATAGATATGAGAGCTTCCTGAAGGTTGTTAGTTTTGTTCTTTGTCTTTGTTTGAGACAGATAGTCACTATAGTCGGAGGTGGCTTCAAACTCAAAAGCAAGCTTCCCGAGTGCTAGGGATCTCAAAAGTGTAAGTCACAAGCACAGCGGAGAATGGTGGGAATAAACTCTGTGGTCCAGCCACACAGTTAACTGCTCAAGCATGTCAGTTATAGAATTGTTTAACTTTCCGTACATAACTGATTCTCAACAAGGCTTGAGAGATGACTAAACTCTCTAGTGTTCTATTATGGGCTGCCTTCCTGGTGCTGTCTGAATACCAAAGCTGGTCAGTGTGCTGAGTGTTTCCCACCCATCATCTCATTTATTCTCCAATGGTTAACCCTTCATCCAACACACACATGTGAAGGCTCAGCCACAGGCCTAAACCATCAGTTACACAGTAGAAGATATATCTGAATGCATGTCTACATGATAAAGCTCATGTTTTTGGCTGATGAACTTTTTAATACCTCCTAGTCAAACTAAGCTAGCTCAACAGTCAAACATTATAAGCTATAACCATAATAAGCACTGATTTTTTTTTATCAACTCTCAAAATGGTCTGAATATGGAAATAGCTCTTTTAAAGACAAACACTGCACTGAGAGCACAATCATGCATTCATAAGCCCTGAGGGTCAACCCACAACAAACAAACAAACAAACAAACAGTATGAATATATTTGTTCTGTGAAATAAGTAAACATCTGTGAAATAAGTAAACATTCATATTAACCCGAAGACACCAAAATTACCATTGACAACCTGCAAAAGTGTTTAGTGATCTATGTAAGTGTCCACTCTAAGGTTTGTCCCTGAAATGTTTTTATTAGTTTTACATTTAATAGCCAATTTCTATTTCCTCTCTCTTCCTTCTGTTCTCCCCCTCCATTCCCTGCTTCTGAGAAGACAGGGGTAGCTTTCAAACCATCAGTTAAGTTGTGCCTAAAAGAGGTAACCTATGGGAAGAAACAAGGTTCCATTAGCCTCAAATGTGCACTGTGGCAAAGCTCTTCTGTAATGAACTAAAACTTCTGTATCATGTAGGATTAGATTAAGGGAAATGTTTAAGTAACAGTATAGGGCTTTAGTTGTTCTTTCCCAGCCTTATAACAACTTGTGAGACATATTTTAATACAAATTTGATGTATAAATTGAGTTAGTATTATAATCAAGAATTACTCAATACACCATTTAGTGGTTAACAACTATCAGCATGATTTGGAACATCCTGATTGGACACAAACAACAGGACAAGCTACTCTGATTTGTGGTTGGCATTGTATACTCCATTTCACTGAAAGCTGATCTCTGGAGAGGACAGCAAGCTACTGTATCCAACCAGAGCAGCTTACTTGTTAGATGAAGAAATATTATTTGGTTGAAATTTCTATCAAAGTCAGCGCCAGAGAAGATCAACATTTGTGAATCCCAGATTTGAAATTCCTTTACGTACTGACTGGGAAAATGTCTTAAATCTTACATATGACTTGAAAATTCATAGTGAGATCTACCATGAAAACTGAGAGCCTGTAGTGCCATGCTCTGGAGTAAACCCATAAGTATATCTGAACCTACGATCTACAGAGTACAACAGGATGAAATACCCTTAAGGGATCAATAGCCTGTGAACCAAACATTAGGACTATTTCCAGTTTCTATTTCATGACAAATCTCCTCTCCGTAAGATATAACCTGTTTTAAGAAAAGAATCTTAACACTGAACAGCTGAATGCTGGGATAAATCCATACCTGGTAAAGTAAGGCAGATGAGGCTGGCAATTAATAATGTTATGCACATGAAGACAATCAGCAGAAATATCTGCAAGAAAAACAGTTTGTAAATGGTTCACATGTCCTCAGTGTATTCTGATATTCCTCCAAGAATCCAAATAGCACTCCCATTGTAAAAGCCTGCCCGTGGATACAGAGACATGTGCCTGGAATCCCTGCACTGAGGGGAGAAAGAGGGGAAGGGAGGCAGCCTGTGTAAAGTGTTTTCACACAATCAAATATACCCACAAGAAAGAAGTAAACATATTTATTATACTCAGCAAAACAACCCACCCAAAATTTGGTATAACAATTTTAAAATATCCATCCTTTTAAACTCAGTAACAATGCTATTCAATTAGATGTTCTCCGTGCTGATAGAAACATCTAGTTCTGTACTGTCCAATAGTCACTGGCCACACGTGGCTACTGAACTCCTGATATGTGAACAGTGTTGTATAATGTTAGAATTTTAAATTTTACTTTTATTAATCTTATCTATAAATAAATATACATAGTCAATGGCTAAAGTACTGGGAAGTAATGATAAAACAATAGCACACAGAGAAGAGGGACCCTTTCCTGGGCTGCAAGGCAGGATTGTAGCTCATTTTCTACCTTAACAGGTACATTTTCCCCAAGATCAGAGGGCAGAGTTCTAGATGAGAAAAAAAATCAATTAACACTACAGCTTTGCAGCCTCAAAAGCCTTAGTGATTCTGTCTCTGGTGGCCTTATACCCCTCCTACTCAGCAAGAGGACTGAGTGGAAACCAGTGAAACATGTGTTAACTATGAGTCTGCTTTTAGGATTCACAGACAAAGGGAACTAAGTTAGAAATACCTCCCGGTTTCCTTCACCATTATAAGCAATATTTTCTAGAGTAAGTTGTTGCATCAGAATAGATGTGTACACAAGATGTTCAAGACTCTGCACTTGGCTGCTGCTCATCCAAGAGTCCTGTCAGCCACAGCTTCTGTTGCCCCTCATCTCTCCTCTGCATACAGCCCATCCTCTAAATTACATTTAGTTACCTGCAGTTCCAAGCTTACCAAGTCCCATGTGCCCTTTCCTGGCATATGCCTGGAATGGGCTTCCCTCTTTCCATTTCTTAATCTGCTTGCCCTCTCTCAGTATTACAGACAGTTTAGCTATCACCTTCTCCATTAAGATCTCTAGGCACTTGTACTACAAAACAGTGTGCCCCTGCCCAAAAGTATACATCTACTCTGAGAACTCAAATCTGCTAATGTTTGGTTTTGTTTTTTAATCTCCCAAAGTAGTCTGAAAGTGATTTCAGGGAAAAGACTGCATTTGTGATCTCTATAACCTTAACACAAATCAAAAATATCACAGACATATGAGGTGTGCTTACACAATGGCTACACATAACACACAGGCAATCGAAAAATAAAATGATGACTATTTTTACAGAAGAAAAAATGAGAATGAGAGGCTAAAAAAAAAAAAAAAAAAAAAAAAAAAAAAAAAAGCCAGGCAGTGGTGGTGCACACCTTTAATCCCAGCACTTGGGAGTCGGGCAGGTGGATCTCTGAGTTCAAGGCCAGTTTGATCTACAGAGCTAGTTCCAGGACAGGCTCCAAAGCAATACAGAGAAATCTTGTCTTGGAGGGAAAAAAAAAAAAAATCTACAGATTTCAAAACAATCAGACTCACAACCTCAAACCATAAACATGGATCTGAAATATAACAAACTGCATATAATGGCACTAGTCATCAGGATAAATTTCTGCTAAGACTGAATCACAAAATGACTGCTAGCTCTAAGACCATGAAACAAGAATGTTTTTAGCCAAGCTGGTCTTCAGTTTCATTAGCTATCAACATCTGGCACATGGTAAACTTGGAACTGGAGATAACGGAGTATATTTAGGAGATGGTACATGCAGAGGAGAAGTGGCCATATGTGCACTACTCCACACTCACTATATCTTACTTCATGGTTCTTTGTCCTACTGAGAGACACAGTTCTGATCTGATCTAATAGCTGTTAAGTGGGGGATGAAATCAGAGGCAAACACTAACATGCCATTACATTTTCTGCCACACAGCCTAAAGGTTTCCATCATGCTAGCTTCTAATTTACAATCTTTTTTTTTCTCAAACAAGAGATAAAGTCCATGGAATCCTAATTCTACATAGTATCCATCTCCAAAATTTGATAAACTTATTTTGAACATTTACGCTACATAATGAGTAATAAAACAGGTTTGTTTCCAGGAACCGTAAGACATAGCTACACAGCACCAATTTTAACAGCATTAATTCTCAACAGAAAATTGAAAGTAAAGGTTGATTTACACAGGTCAGGCTGTACAGACTCACCCTGAGAGGGAAATTGAAAGGCCGGCGGTAAGGCTGAAAGCCGACAGGACCTCCCTGCTGGAGTATGGCTTGGTGGGCTGCATGCAGACCCTCCCCAGCAGGAACAGCATTGTTGTTTCGAGCAGGCTGGTTATTGTTGGCCTGCTGATTTGCACTGTTCTCACTTTCCTCCTGGTCTCCCAGTAAGTAGGAATGAAGGTCCCTACACAAAAGTTATACCAGTTAGTCACACCAGTCTCATTTTCAGGTCAGAGTGACAAAGACAAGCATGACATATTTTCTTAAAGGGTAGAAAACGTGTATGTGGAGTCAATGTAGAGTATTACTCCTGATATCTAGACTAACTGCTGGTGTCTGCTTTAAATCAAACCCTTCCAACTGTGTTATGGGACACCCCAACATCTGGGAAGAAGTCAATGATTTAGACGAAAGCACAGACAGGAGGCATCAGGCTCCACAAAGTGAAAACCTTTTTTCTTCTTCTGTAATGCCTGCTGTGTCTCCTGTACAAGTTACAAATCAATTCAGACAAGAGTAGCACTGGGGAGAAGAGCAGTGTTCGATCAAATATAACCAAGTCTACATCACACGGTAATTTAACACAGTATGCCAAGTATTTCACAGAAACTCCCCTATCTCATGGACTCAATAAACACAAATGGATGTGGGAATTAACCCTCATCACCAACCTGACAAGATCTAGAGTCACAGTGCTGGCCAGTTTTATGTCAACTTGACACAGGCTACAGCCATCTGGGAAGAGGGAACACAGTAAGTTAAGACTATGCCCCCACCAGACTGGCCTGTGCATAAGCCTATATAATCAAGTCATTTTCTTGATTAGTGATTGATGTGGGAGGGCCATCCCACAGTGGGTGGGTGGATGATTTGGGGTGGGGTGGGATATAAGAAACAGGATAATAAAGCCATAAGAATCAAGCCAATACACAGCATTCCTTTATGGCTTCTGCATCCTTCCTGCCTACAGGTTCCTGCCCTGAGTTCGTGCCCTGACTTCTCTTGGTGGTGGATTGCTACCTGGAAGTGTAAGAGGAAATAAACCCTCTCCTTCCATAGTTGCTTTTGGTCATGTTGTTTTATTACAGCAATGGAAATCCTAAAACAGAACCGAAGAGACAGGCCTCTGGAACGCCAGTGAGAGAATGTCTGACTAAGGTGGAAAGACCCATCCAAAAGTGGGTGATACCGTTCACTGGGCAGGCCAAGGACCCTGAACAGAATAAACTAGGAAAGCTAGATGTGGATTAACATCTCTTTCTCTCTGCTTCCTGAATGTAAATGTAATGTGAGCAGATGCCTCAAGCTCCTGCTGCCAAGACTTCCCCACCACAACTGACTCTGCCCTCACATTGTAAGCCAAAGCAAACACACTCCCCTTCAGCTGCTTCTGTTGGCTATTTTATCACAGCAACGTGAAAAGTAACTAAGTAACAAAGAATCTAACCTTAGAAAACTTTCTTTACTTGGTTAGAACCCCTAAAATAAAGGTAAGTTAGTTTGATTTTAAATGCACTGCATTTTTTAACTTTTGGGTTACTGTGTATTGATGGAACTGTCACATACATTCCTACATAAGCACACAGTGTAGTGCTGATATGGCTCCAATACCCTTGTTTGCCACATCTGAGAGCACAAAAGGAGGTGCAGCAGGAAGCCTGCATAAGAGGAGACAGTGTGCACACACCATCTTTGAAAGGGCAACCTGCAGACAGGACTCAACTATTTCTTATTAAACCTAGGGTTTTCTAAGAGTTTTCATTTATATCTGTGCATGTGTGTATCTATGCCACATGTGTACAGGGGCCCACAGAGCCAGAGAAGGTGTCAGATCCCCAGAGTTGGACTCACAGACAGTTGTGAGTGGCTGACATTAGTTCTGGGAAAGGAAATGGGTCTTCTGGAAGAATAGCAAGAACTCTTACTGCTGAGCCAGCCATCTCTCTGGCCTCCAAAACTACTTTTTGTAGCCTGAACACAGAACACACTTCTTTCAGAAAGGTTATAAAACAAGACGGGCCATGGTAGTACATGCCTGTACTCTGGGGCATGAGAACTCTAGAGTCATAACTTGGCTACGACTGGTTCAAAATTAAAATGAAATATGGGGTTGGAGATGTCACTCAGTGGCATAGCATTTGTAATGTACGTATGAGGTCCTTCAATCTCAATATCAAAAGGGGGGGATTATAGACACAAACAACACAGACACCCGGGGAGTCGGCTACCATACTCACAGTAAGTATCCAGCAGTAACAGTCCATGCACGCACAAGACCCTTCAGCCACTGCCTCGTGTGTCCCTGTTCCAGCAATGCAGGCAAGACGACCTGCAGCAGGAGCAGCTCAAGGGACAGCTCACTCACTGGAGCATCACTACAAGTCACAGGTTTACAACATGAGTCCTATTTCCATTATACCTTATAAAATATCTAATCAGATTAAACAAATCTCCAAGCCAAATGAACCCCTTGTCTTTATTGCCTTCCTCCCACTCTCGTCAAGTCAGTGAGGCTGCCCTCCCAAATTCCACTGAAGGTGTTTCCGGTCCCTTGGTGTCCACCAATGGCCATGCCTCGGTGTTCTCTGGCACTGTGAGAGCAGCATGTTACAGAGCTGCTCGGCCTTCTTCCTACTGTCCCCCTCAACAGCTTCCCAACCAGCTGCTTCCCCTTTGCTTTCCCAGTCTAAAGGTATGAGGACCCCATGCCGTCCATCCACTTTTTCAACTACACGTACTCCTTGTGTGACTGTGACTCGCCTGGCTTGACACCACCTTCATCGACTCCTGACTGTGTGTCCACAGTGGAACTCAGTGCTCCACGCTGATGTGCACTGTCTCACTTAGAACAAGCGCCCAACCAAACCATCCATCTCCTCCCACTGTCACCTACACCTCAATACAGTAAGTCCATACTTTCCCATGCTAAGAACACAACTGGTTTCTGACTTCCTTCTTTCCACCTCACATCCACACTGCGAGCCTCCTTTGACTCTTGGTGACATTATAAACTAACTGCTACCTCCTTCATCTATACCCTCTCCATTTCCACCAGGGTCGTCACATCTCCTGGCTCTCCTCCTGCTCCTAACCTATCACTCTCACTTTCTATCACTGAGGAGCCAGTCTTGTCAAAGTGCTTATTACAGCCTCCAACACTCAAAGAGCTGGCTTTCAAGGACTTCTCTGTCTTCACGGCCAACTATTTTGCTTTCTCCTTCTTAGCCAAACTAGCCTGTCAAACAGACCTGGGTGCTACTGTGCCCACCTGACTCGGTCTCAAGGGAATCACATGTTTCAGCACCTTTCCTCACCTCCTTTCAAGGCCTTCCTTAACTGTCACCTCAGTTACAACAAAACAAAATCTAGACAGCAGGGACGAGGGCGGGATATAAATGGAGAAAAGAGGGAGACAGAAACTAAGCTACTGAGTGGTAAATGATCTGGTTTAGTGCAGGCTTAAGGACTTGGAACTCACAAGACTTAAAAGGACATATGTGAATTTGAGGAAGCAATTTCATTCCCCATAGCACGAAAAGAACTATGGGGTAATGAAGGGTGAAAGCCTTGAGTCTTTTTCACAGTTAAAGGTGTATACAAAGAAAAATCAACACTATTAATTCTTACTAAGTGTGGTAAAACTACCTAAACTACAAAAATAAGTCTTCCTTTGAAAAATGTAACTACTGATGTATATGACAAAATGAAACTATCACATAAAATGCTTCCCAACAGTGATGTATATAGCTTTTCTAAGTTTGCTTGTTGGTTTTTTGAGACATGGTTTTTATGTGTAGCCTTGACTATGGGTGTGTTTCTCTGCATAGGCTTGACAGTGGGTATGCGCCTCCAAATGATTCTATAGGGTCGGGATGCCACTCAGTTGTATGGTACTCGCTTAACATACTAGCACTGAGTTCAATGCCCAAAACCACCAAAATAACAGCAAAACCCTTACCTGTAGAGCATGACATTGTAGGGAAGAAAATTAGGCAGCAGACTCTTAATTATACGTATAGGAAGCCAGAGCATCAGAAGTACAATGGAGCCAAAGACAATCTGCAGTAAGAAACAAGCACAAACCACTGTGAGTCCAGCAAACGACTGATAAGTCCATTCCACAGGCTTAGGTAAAACTGTCAGTATGCTTCCCTGCCCTCCCAATCTAAAAGAATACAAACAAAACACTGTATGAAACTAAAAGGTAACATACTTTGAGGAGGAGGGAGGGAGGGAGGGAGGGAGGGAGGGAGGGAGGGAGGGAGGGAGGGAGGGAGGGAGGGAGGGAGGGAGGGAGGGAAGACATGCTCACCACTGACAAAATAAATCTTCGGAGATGCCTATAAATGGGCAAGTGGATCATTTCCTGTACTGGATTAAAATCTGGATCATTCAAATTCCTTAGAAACCATAAGACACCAGGTCGAAGTACCTGCAAATATATGTAAAGTATGATCCTTATGAACATTAACAGAAAAATAAGGTCCTAAAGATTTTATAATTGTCACGAAACAAGAAGTTCCTTAGCCAGAAATTCTATCAAACATCTGTGCTAATAATGGCCTCTGATTGCCATAAACTGGAAAACACACACTGAGAAAAACTTATCAAGAATCTGATTACTGGGGTAAAAACATAAACTTTACTACACACTGTATGATTTAGGGAAGGATTCAGACCCAGCCCTATACTCCTCAAATTTCTCACAGAGTATAGCAGAAATGACATTCAGACTCTGAGTTCACATTCCATTCCCACTGGCTTTGTAGGCTTTCTCTTCCATCACCATCTCAGTAGAGTAAGCTAATGTGTTCAAAGGATTTATTCATTCCCAAGGACAAAGGAGAATAGGAATCATGCCTTTGTTTCTACTCCAGCACACAACAGAGAATCTGGAGTTTTGAATGTGTATCTGTATATTGAGGAAATACTACTGTTCCCTCACTTTTAAACCAGTTAGAACTGGACCTGTGAAGGAAGGCACCCATCTGGCAAATGAACTAGGATCATAAAGATCCTCACTGTAATTCTGTATTTCAAATGTCAGTTCTTCAACATTTTCAATTCTACAAAACCTCTCCAGGGGATGAAGTTTAAGACCAATTTATTTAAGACCAATTTATTATCACAACCACTTTTATGAGTTTACAACAGAGGGTATATATCAAGTAAGAACTTTGATTTTTAATTAGCCTTGATCGTTTTAAAAACACTGCCATTTTTTTGGCATAAATAAACATCAATTTAAAGTAAACAAACCAAATTCTATTATTAGTTACTCTCTCTTAGAATAGTAGAGAACATGGTTTAGATGTCAGTCTTTAAATATGTTTCTCATACTGGTTAATTAATAAAGCACTGTTGGCCAATGGGAAAGCAAGATAGGTGGGACTAGGAGACAAGGAGGATTTGAGGAAGTAGTAGGGAGGAGTCAGCATGGAGAAACTGGGGAGAACAGAGGTCTGGGCTCACTCTCCGGTAAGGTGAGACCACATGGAAATACTTAGATTAATAGAAATGGGTTAATCATTAAGACAGAGCTAGCCGATAAGAAACAAGTAACTGGCCAACAGCATTATAGTTAATACGGAGTCTCTGTGTGTTAATTGGGGCTGGCATGGCAGTAGGACAGGCGGCGGGGAAAACATATTCCTAACGGTTTTAAAAACACTGTCAATTTTTGACATAAATAAACATCAATTTAAAGTAAACAAACCAAACTCTACTATTAGTTACTCCCTCAGAATAGTAGAGAACATGGTTAAGTGAGGAAAACATCCTCGCCTTTGAGAGAAGACTGCTGGTCAAAGTAAAACCCTTCTAAACCATGCTGAGCACCAACACTTCCCTATAGGGCCTACCTCTCTCAGCAACAGGATGAAGGAGGCAAAGTAGAATACATATACCATTCCTACAAGCCAGTGCAGAAACATCGTAGTTCCTGGAGCCGACTGAAAGCTCAGTTCTCGATCTTTCAGAGTAGCATCAAACATTTCCTAAGCCAAAAAAGAAAGAGTTAGAAATCTATGCCACCTACACTTGCAACACTTAGTACTTCCACCATTAAGAAGTCACCATGAGTACGTAATGACAATGTTTTTGGTTTTCAGTTCTCTTTGCCATTTCACGGTGCCACAGAACTATTGTAAGAGTATATAATACTTTAAAATCCTGAATCATGGGCAGGCAAGGTGGCTCAGTGGGAAAAGGTTCTTGCTACCAAGCTGCTATGAGTTTGATCCCTTGGACTCACACAGCAGAGAATGCACACCTGCCAGGTTGTGCTCTTACCATTATATGAGCACTCAAAATATTCAAATAATGCAATTAAGAATCAAGGAGCATCAGTTACTTTTACTAGTTCCTTTCTTTTCTGGGATAGACTCTCATGAATCTTAGGCCAGCTTACAACTTGCTATGCAACTGAAAGAAGCCTGGAAGTTCTGAGCCTCCTAGCTCTTCCTTGTCAATGCTAAATTACAGACACACAGACACAGACACAGACACACACACACACACACACACACAGTTTACGCGATGCTTGGAACTGAATCCAGGATTATATGCATCCTAGACAAGCATTCTACTAACTGACCTATGCTTTCAGCCCTTTACTCATAAAAACTATTCTTTTTAACTATATGAGATCTTGATTTCTTAGTTATAGGTCTGCATTCACAAAAGGTTTTAAATAATAAAGAATAGGAATAAATATCAACCTCAGAACAAAGAGCAGCTTTTCTACATGTATTTGAAAACTCAAAACTAAAAACCATTAAAATTTACTGTCATAGTTTTAAAAACTGGTCGACGTTAATATAAAATTTAGTAGGGGAAATGAGTAACAAAACATTATATAATTACTATTCAAGACAATTAATGACATTTACTCAATAATATTTAATTCCAAGAATAAATTCTTTAAAAGGAATGCTTTCTTTTTTGAACCTTTAAAATGAAATTGTATGACAATGGATACTCAACTTACCAGAGAACAAATATCCAGCCACCAGCCACAAATGAGAGGGAACACTCCAATTTCAACAACAACTAACAAAGAAACCTTAATTAAATAGAAATAAAGGTTGTCAGTACCAACCAAAAGGAGGACAAACCAGTTTGAGCTTAAATTCACAACTGGATTACCTTAACCACAATGTAGCAGACTCCCAGCAAGCGTCGAGACCTATGGAACTTTACAAGAGTTGCCAAAGCCTGCAGCATCTAGTCAAGGAGACACTGAACACTTGAGAGTGGGAGACAGCAAACTCTTTAGGTTATACTGAATGTAGTAATAAATTTCATTTATTTCAAATCCTTCCTACACACACCCCTTCACACACACTAACTTTTCTGGAGACATAGGAGAAAGCAGCTCTGTTATTAATGAGAACTCTAGTATGAATGGCTTTGCCCCTCCACGCTGATTCATTATTAATGAATGCTATCAATAAGAACTCTTTGATAGGAATGGTTTTATACCTCCATGCTGAATCATTAAAGGATACATGACAAATTATCAGTGTGATTGCTAAAAGTATATACCCAACAATCGTCGTGATTAGACCTTCAAAATGAGATGCTTGGACCTGAAAACAAAACAAATAAATAAAATAAAACTTTCCCTCATGGTTGATAACCTGATTTATAAGCATAATAATAGAAGGTAAACTTGATTCAAGATATTTATAATTTAAAACTGAACTCTCCTTTATAAGGTATCTTCAAATCAGACTCTCTCATTTTAGACTGCTAAATATTACCAGAGACTGGAGAAACAGCAAAGAATAACATTTTATCAAGAGTCAAGATGAGAGCGTGAATGACATTTCCCCATAAGACAATCTTAACAGCCAGCCCTTATTCCCACTACAGGTGCATTTTAACTAAGGACTGACCGCTAGCACACTGCCCAAGTCACCCACCCAACTGGAAACATCCTGACCACATCATCTCATACCCTTAGAAGTAGCTGTTTACATTTCTCTAACTTTCCATAAGTGTTCTGGAGACTTGCAGAAAGCAGGAGTTTGGAAAAATTACAACATTTCTTATTCCTATCTTTTCATTTCCTGAGTTATGGATAATAAGTAGCAACAGTTTAAAATGTTAGTACCTGCCAAAACCACTTATCTTGGCCTTCTAGGTTCTTACAAGCAAACAAGAGGTATCAGAGCACTAGCAGATAGTGGGACATTCTCAAAAGTGACCTCAGAACACAAAGAACTAAAGACCCCAGTCAGCTCTTCCCTACAAGAGAAATCCTCACAGAGACCATAAATTAGCCCTACTCCAGGGATCTTTTGGACTTCCAACTTAGCACAAAAGGCAGTCTTGTTCATGGACAACACTATCACTATCTAATTGCTATCAGGGTCAGACATGCACACACCTTACTAGTAAGGAGCTGGGGGACAACAGAGTTACAGAGGTTCGTCTTGTCCCTCCATCCTGGTCCTGCAACCGCCTCAACCCTAAATAAACATACTGAGACACTATATTAACTATAAACTGTTGACCTATGGCTAGAGCTTCCTTTGACTCACTCTGTCTTAATTATTAACCCATTCCTATTAGTATTTCCATATGGTCTTATCTTACTGGAGAAGGGTCTGGACCTACTACTCCTTTGTGGTCTACATGGTGACTGCTATGGCAAGCCCTCTCTGCCTACCTTTCCCAGAATTCTCCTTGTCTCCTAGTCCTACCAATCTTCCTGCCTCACTGGCCGAACAGTGTTTTATTTATCAACCAATAAGAGAAACATATATACAGAAGGACAACCACCATCACATCAGGCTACTAGCATGTTTGTCTAAGCTATTAGACATTAAAATGTTAGAAAAAAAGGTAGCAAGAATCTATCCAAATACTTATCCATCATTAGGAAATGACAAAATATAAAATATAAGCAAATTCTTGACAAAACACTATAGTCCATTACCCCAAGCCAGTCTTCTATTCCTTTTTTTTTTTTTTTTTTTTTTTTTTTTTTTAATTGATAAATATACTGATCCTTTCCAAAATTCACTTTGGACGGGGAAAGGGACCGAGAGGGACACACAAGTTCATAAAGTGAGAGAAAAACCTATGGGAAACTTCTTGCCATGTGCCTCAGGCCCTGACATATGATATGCTACTTCCCAAGCAACTGTTCAGCTTTAAACAGAAACAAGACTGTGCTGGCTAACTATTCCTTTGCACAAGATACACTGAGAAATGAATTCTTGAAAAATATTCCTTGGTGGACAGGAGACATGGCTGAGCAGTTCAGGGCACTTGTTGCTCTTGCAGAAGACTTGGGTCCACCTCTCAGCACCAGTGCAGTGGCCCTCAAGCATCCATAATCTCAGTTCCACAGGATCCAATAAGATGCATGTGATGCACATACATGCCAGCACAGCATTTATACACATAAAATATTCCTAGCCAGGCGATGATGGAGAATGCCTTTAGTTCCAGCACTTGGGTGGCAGAAGCAGAAGGATCTCTGTGAGTTCAAGGCCAGCCTGGTATACAGAGTGAGTTCCAGGACAGCCAGGGCTACTCAGAGAAATCCTGTCTCAACATGTATATATTCCTCAGAAAATAACAAACTTGTGGATAAGTAAGGTTCTGAAAATATTGTACTCACATGTTCCTCAAATCCCAAACCAACGAGGGAGAAATGACCAATGTGGTAAGGACAGAATGCTAAAAGGGAGGAGAAAATGTATAATTAGAACAATGAGCACTCTTTACATAATGCCCACTGAAAGAACCAGGACTTTTTGAGAAATGGGAAATTCGGAGGATAAACCAAAACTATACCTAGTTAATAGGACCCTGTCAAAAGGACAGGGGAACCATTCTGAAGAGGGTATCTATCACTGGCATTTTTAAAGAGATGACATGAACATTACAACCACCCAGTGACCCAAACTGATGCCTTTCTTAATATACAAACCTTCAAATAACAACCACAAAGCAAAAAGGCAGTAACATGAAAAGAAACTAGCCAAAAAAAAATCTTTAAAATTCCAGAATTTCAAACAATATTTGGCATTTTTGCAACACCTGAAGAGGACTGATACAGGCACTGGATGAAAGGATAATGGCCACTACACTAAAATATCATTCCAGAGTTCTTGATGTAAGAGAAAATGAAAAATTACAGAGGGTAAAAATGGATAAAATCATGTACCTCTCTTCCTATGTCACATTCGAAATCAAAGTACGTGCCCAATCACCTTGTCAAAGAGGGCTGACCCTGACCTGATTAGGCCCTTTAACCTGACTTCCAGGTCAAAAAGCGTGGTGGACCAGGGATGAGGTAGAGGATGTGAGGAAAGTAGTCCTATGGGCATCAACACATGATACTGTATTAGCACAGTAAGAAGCAAAGAGAAGAGTATTCAACTGTGCAGTAATGTGTGCAGATTATTTGGATCTTTATTCAAACAAACCAACTATAAAATGGTATTTAAGGTTACAATTTACAGATTGTTATGATGGATTATTGACAAACAATGAATTCTAGCATTAGATGACACTATAGTTAAATCAGAAAGTATAAATTTTCTCATTAAAAATGTTTATGCTTCTCTTTTCCTGTTCTTAATAAATTCTTATTTCTCCGTGGTAACAATAAACATCCTAATAGATAAGTAGGGCAAAGGATGATTCAAACACCGAGTAAAAGTCAGGGAATCTACTAAGGTCTGGCTTCTAAATCCACACTGCATGTTCCTTGATACTCCTAGGGCACAAATGAAACAAAAGCCTGCAACAAGACTCCTAGAAAGGCAAACTTCTATCATGATACCACAAAAACTAAAAGCTCAGGTACAACTTACCAAAAACAAGAATGAACAACGTATTTAAAGACACCACCCAGAACACGTGTTCCTACAGGAGAAAGCATTAATAAGAGTCAATAGTATCTCATGCTTAATTGAACAATTTCACTTAGCCATAGCTAAGTCCTGAAAATAACTAGAACTGATTTTTTTTTTCCCCTCGACACAGGATTTCTTGAGGTAGCCCTAGCTGTCTTGGAACTCACCAGGCTGGCTTTGAACTCAGAGATTTGTCTGCCTCTGCCTCCCCAGTGCTAGGATTAAAGGCACTGACCACTATGCCCAGCACATTTTCATATCTTTACCCATTAACTTTAAAATGTTGAAAGCAGAATCCTATTTTACTCACCTCAACCTCTGACTACACCCCCCTCCCCGCCCTGGAACTGTGTAAATGATGTTCCTATCTGACATGAACAACTTCTGCCATACTCATGAAACAACAATGAAGTAAAGGATGTATTTGTGTAAACAGCAAGAGACAGATATTATCTGGATTTTTATAACATTGCTGGGGCACTGGATCATGCAATGCTCAAGCCTATGCTTCCTCTGGGCTTCCTGTTATTGCCATGTTCCTATCTGTGGCAGTTCTGCTTCTGTATGTAGACAAGACCTAATCTACTGAAAAATCCAAAAACAAAAACAAAAACAAACCAAAAAAAAAAAAAAAAAAAACAAGCAAGTTTACATTACATGACCTGAAAGTGCCATTTTTCCTTTAAAGAATAAACTTCTTGAAAGAATTACCACTCATTTAAAGACAGACCTTTACTATGTGTGTATGTGTGCCTATCTGTATGCCTATGTCTGTGTCTGTGAATATATGCACACAAGTACAGGTACCATGGAGCCCCAAACTGTTAGTGTTGGATCCCTTAGAGCTAGAGTTACAGGAAGTTGAGCCACCTGACATTGGAACTAAGAACCAAACTTGGGTCCTCGGACAGAGTAGTGTGTATTCTTAGCATGTCTCCAGCTCTACCCACCTACTTTTAAGTTGTAGCTCTTGGGGTACTGAGATGGCTCATCAAGTAAAAATGCTTGCTGTGAAACCTAACAACCTGAGTTTGACCCCAGCTCCCACAGTGGTAGGAGGTAACAGATAACAGACTTTGGCCTCCACATACACTAGTATATAAACTTAAAAATTAAAGACCATGAAATAAAAAAAATGAAGACGGAAGCTTTACTCCTACAGAAGACTTCCAGATAAGACTATGGCTCTCTCCTGTTTCTTGCTCTGTTCTCGACGGTACAGGCAATAAACAGGTAAGACCCAACTTCAAACACCAAGTTCTTTTAACTACTACTAACTTCAGACTTTTTAATTTTCAAATATTTAGTAACTTTATTTTTAAGTAACATTCCTTTAAATATTTCTAGTACTGTCAACATACAAAATATACTTTCAGATATCAAGTAATCAAAGCCAAAGGGTTTTACTACAAAAGAAGAACACTTCAAAAATTTGGAGTTAGGGATAACAAAGACAACTCAATTCTATCAAAAGGATTACTTCCAACTTACCAGAAAAACTAGTGATCCATCAAGTCCAAGCATCTAAAATAAAAAATAATAAGCATTAATTTAATATGCAGTAGAACCTTCTTTCCTATCAGTATCATTAAACATGATTTCCAATCATTACTTTCTGAACCTACCATTCCCAGACTGTAAATAAATAAATAAATAAATAAATAAATCTGTGTATGTAAGCATTAAGGCACTTCGGTCTGAGCAGGCAGAGGCTTATGTCTGTGCTCCCAACACTAGGGAAGTTATGGCAGCTACTGAGACAGAGAGTAGACTGTGGCAAAGAGCTGGCAGGTGGAGCTCAGTGAAAGAACACTTGCCTAGCGTGCCCAAGGCCATGGTCTTTATGCCCAACACTGTGAAAACAAAAACATATGCATTCTGAGTTCCTTACATTAGAGAGAACCAGTCATGACTTCATTATAGAATTACATTTATTTTTTTTAATTACAGTGTAGAAATACTATTTAAATTCTACTTAATTTTCCACAATATCAGGTCAAACTGCCTCCATGGAGCAAGATTTGTATTAAAGGCAGAAAAACAGACCTCACTGTTATCATCTTTACCACATCTGTACAGCACTTGGTTTTTTGTTTGTTTGTTTTGTTTTTGTAGAAATTAAGTCCTGGCTAATCATTTTCATCAAATTTAACTATGAAATTTGTCTTTATAGCTAAATTTGCCAAAACTTCAAAATACACGTTAGGGTTAAAACACAAGGGCATGTGACAGTGAAAACGTGAAATGTTCTTACTCTTTCCCAGGTAAGCTCTTCAGCAGCCCGGTCCCACTCTAAAGCATTCCAGTTCATGTCATCTGCAAACACAATTGCAAATTCAAGATGACGGACAGACGTAACTATGACTCATGAAAGCCACTTTTAATTATAATCTGTTGACAAGTAAAACCACACTTCAAATTTTATCACACATAGTTTACTTACTAGGTTGTAAGTAACACATAAGATAACCCTAGACTGTGGTAAGCACTAGAAAGTTAATAAATGGGATTATGTGGAAGATGATCTAATCGATGTGGGTCAGAAATTAATCTGGTAGTTTTGAGGAAAAAGAAGGAAATTGAGGGATTAACTTTCAAATGAATTAGTAAATTAGCAGAGGACCAAAGTATAAAACTCAGAGGCCAGTTAGTGGTTAAGAACTCAGGTTGTTCTTCTAATGGACCCAATTAAGTCCCTAGTGTCACTCATATCAGGTGGCTCACAACTGTCTGGAGTCCACTTCTAGGGGATCACCCTCTTCTGGTCTCCATGTCACAGGACACACAAATATAAACCCACACGGACATACACATACATGCACAATTAGAAATAAGTATATAAATTTAAAATGTAAGAGCTGGATCAGGTGGTACAGAGCCTGTAATTCTATCACTCAGGAGGCTGGGGCAGATGGTCAGCAAATTCTGGGCCAACCAGGAATACACACCAGATCCTGTGTCAAACAAAAAGTGCAGGGGGGTGGGATGCAAGGCAGACAGGGATTAAATAACAAATGAGGAGGAGTGTGCAGTCTGGGCTGTGTTTTACTCAGGACTTAAAAGCAGAAGAGTACTATGAACACCAGATAGGGCAAGAACAGGAATGAACAGAGACGACTTGGGAGCTCCGGCACTAACCAAGTTGCAGCAGTGACCACCAAGCACTAGAGCACCAGCACCAAGAATGGTTTTCTCAGAACCTCTGATCTTTCCCTGAGAAAGCACACTGCTCCCATCATGACTTCTGTTTCTTCTCAGCTGTCAGGTCTCAGCCAGAATGTTACTCTGAGCCTCCATACACACCTGACACAAGGGTATCTCTTCTTCCTCCTTCCCTAGACTAGAACCTCCCAGAAAGGTAAGCCCACATTTTGTTCACAACTGAATACTTCGTCTCAAGTGTCTGACACTATGAACACATACACTAGAAAGTGGACAGGCAACTAGCTCTGACATCGGAACCCAGAGTTCCCACTGACAGAAAATGAAAAGGTAGTTTCCAGAGGGGCACCTGGACTGTAGTGTACACTTCAGGAGGTCTTTTTCATTGGAAAAGTACAGCAACTCCATGGAAGCAGAAAGAGGGGAAAAAAAAAAAAAAAAACACAAAAACAAAACCACAAACAGGAAATTCTATACCAAGTTCCTTCCTCAAAACATGGACCTGGTCACATGTTACCATTATGGTTTTTCCAACCATCTAGGGAAGGGAGGGAAAGAGGGAGGGGGAGAGAGGGAGAAAGAGAGGAAGAAGGGAGGGAGAAGAAAGATCCTATGTAAAGGGTAGAATATACAAAATATTCCATTTCATAAAAGGCATATTTATGCACATATATATTCGTAATTGCTAGCTTGTCAAAATAGAAACAGGTCACAAACAGAACTCTGACACATACTAAAACGTGAAAACACTACTTTCTTTGTCATTACTCTGGGTACGAATGACTGAGTCCTGAAGAGTGAGCAGGGCGTGCAGCAACCACTACCTTGGGCTCCATTGTTGGCATCAGCAGCATCTTCCACACCCGCATCGTCTTCCTCCTCATTGTCCTCCTCTTCCTCCTCTGCCTGACCATCCTGGGCATCAGGGTTCTCACCCAGCACTGCATTCTCAGCCGCTGGGTGAGCTGGCTGGTCAGCAGGGGCGTTTTCTATACCATTTCCTCCTACAGGAGCCTAAAATGAAAGAAAAGCCCAGGATTCACCTACGTGGCTAGCTTTACTCTAATTCCAAATCATATTTTACCCTGCAAGAAAAACAAAACCAGCAAACAAAGACAATGCCACTAAAGTTAAAATAGAAGTATCTTTCAGAGTCATCTCTTTTAAATGTATCTCATTTAGGACCAACTGAGTACATAACAGTATGAACTCACTTTTCAATGTACACATTTCAGGAAGCACTATAGTGATATGAGATAACGCTCTTGTTCACTGTAAAGATTTGCCACTCATATTGGTTTAGTAAAACATGATTGGCCAGCAGCCAGGCAGGAAGTATAAATGGGGCTACCAGATGAGGAGAATTCTGGGAAGAGGAAACACAGAGATACAGTCGCCAGCCAGACATAGAGGAAGCAAGATGAGAATGCCTTACTGAGAAAAGGTACCAAGCCACATGGCTAAACATAGATAGGAATTATGGGTTAATGTAAGTTGCAAGAGTTTATTAGTAATAAGACTGAGCAATACACCACACAGTTTATAATTATTATAAGCCTATAAATTTATTTGGGACTGAACGACTGTGGGAGTGGGTGGGACAGAAACTTCTGACTACACTATAGGGCTGGGGAGGTGGTTTCTGGGAACAAAACAGTTGCAACACAGGTGTGAGTGAGGACCTGATTTTGAATTCCCAGAACCCATATAAAGCATTTTTACTTCACTTAGCATTTGATGTGTGACATTCTTGGCTCTACAATTTCCCAGAAGTCAAGATACTAAAAACCTCTTGCTATGCCTTCCTGTTAACAGACTGCCAAGTACCCTTGTACGTGAGCAGGTCATCGTCACTCATATTATTTTGTGTGTGCACGTGCCCACATACACATATCTGTCTGCACATGCCATCTTGCATGTGTGGAGGTGACAGGACAACTTTTCTCTGCGCACTGTGACTTCTGGGAACTCCAAAGTAAGGTTATCAGGCTTGAGGGGAAGCAACCCTTCCTACTGCGCCATCTGACTCATCATGTTTCCAACCTTTGATAAAGTTCTTCCTCCACAGCAGAAAAGACAAGGAATCTCACATGTGAAGACAAGGGCTGGGATAGGTGTAGAACACTCCTAAATGTTGTGCCACATGTCAGAAACCTAAGGAAGTCGTCTCTCGGTATGCATGCGTGTGAAAACATGTGCTATGTAGCCCTGGCTATCTTGGTACCCACTGAGCTCCACCTGCCTCTCCTACTGTTCTGGATTATAGGTGTGGCCACCACTCCGCTATATGTAGGAAGTTGTTTCTTACCTTGCAGGCCCAAGTTAAACTGCTGGCCCAAGCACAGAGAATAGAAGAGTGTTTCAGTATTCCCACTAACTCTTGTTCCCAATCTAGCAAGAACATTACAAGGCAGAGAAACACTCTTTTTGACTTCCACAGTCCTAATCCCCCAAACCTTCCCGAAGTCCTCTTCCATGACATGAGTCATAGAAAGGCTTTTCATGAGGCACATGCAAGCCAAGGGTTTGGATTGTAGACAGTGAAAATTACTTTAGACATTGTCCAAGAAAGATATACTTAGAGTGCGGGTTTACCTCATTTTGGTGGTGTCCAGCAGCATTGAAGGGTGGAGCAGCATGCTCGAGCCATATTGGTGCCCCACCATGGACTATCTGCTCTCGTAACCAGACCAGGCTGATGAATGCACAAAGTGTGCATGTCACCACAAAACAGCCCTGCAAGCAATCCGCCAACAAGTTTTCCCTATTTAAAAAAAAGAAAATTAGACACAACTAAATCCAAAGAACACTTGCGAAAACAATCAGAAAAATCTTAATTTTTCAGTAAAATTCAGTTGCTTCTAAAGGTTTATTTATAATGATATGGACATTCTATCTTGTAAGCTAGCTAATGTGTTCATTAATTTATATACTTATGTTACTGTATGCTTACCTTATATTAAATAGATATAAAATAACATCAGAATATATAGCTATCAACTATCTAGCCTATCCTTTTAGCAGGAGTGCAAGAAGAAAAAGAAAAAGAAAAATCCAGCGAAACATTCACAAAACCAAACATTGCATTTATACAACTTATTAATTAGGTGAGCAATTCTGCTTGATCTTTTTAACACAAATTTAAAGCTTACTCGACACAAAGTACATAAGTGAAAACACTCAGTCTGAAAGGTGGGAAGCTCCCCCAGTGACTGGTAAAACATCAACATAAAGAGGATGAGGCTGAAAGACTGTCAGAACACGGTGGACAGACAGAGACTCACAATACACAGCACAGAAACTCTTTACATAGCAAACCTAGTTTTAATGCTGGCTGCAAAAATACCAAAATAAATCCAAAGAGGGAGAGTGTGGTTCCTTTAGTAACCATACATGGAAATGTGAGATTTGTTAACACTTGGGAGCCTTTGTTCCTTCTTTTCTAAAGAAACTTATCGTTCACTATCAATGCCTGTGATTTCAGAATAACTCAAAAATACTGACAGACGTTAGAAAGTCAACTACATTTTTGTTCATGGTAAAATGGTTAGTTTGAAAGACTTCAGTCTAGCAGCCGCAGCCCATAGGAGTTCTTGTCTGGAGTATCTCCAAACCATCCCTTACTAAAGTGGACCCCTTATACCATCAAAATCAGGGTGAATTGGGGCTGAAATATTCCCTTTCCATTTCTTCCTCGACAAACAACAAACTGCTTCTTGTAGATTTTATATGGAGCCCTTTTCTCTAACGCCTTCCATCTGAACCAGCTTCATGTTTGCCTAGACCTGAGGTGAGGATGCCCATGTTTCTGAGCCTAGAAAAGGGCTGTGGGCTCCCACTATCCCAGTTTCAGGATGCTGCCCCAAGTCCCTCTAATGGAGAAGCCTCCATTTGCCTCTGAAGATGAAAGGCTGTGTGTATAAATATAACACCTCAGACAGACTCAGACAATTCAGCTCCAGGAAAGACACACGTAACTCAGGCAAGCTCAGAGATGAACTGCTCGACTAAGCCGAAATAAGCCCATGCCAAATCTGACCTCCAGAGTTATGAACAAATAAAATGGCAGCTGTCTAATACTGTAATGTCTCAGAACTATGTTTTGTGTAAATGAGATGGTTTGCCTGGAGATGACCCAGTTCATCTATACACAACACTGCAGTCACATGAGGTACAACTGCAGAATTTTCAGGAAAAGGTTATTTCTTGATAGAGAATATGTAATACTCTCCCTCTCCCAGCACTCTTCTGTGAGTAGTCTAATGAAGGAGGCAGTTCACAAGCCAGTCAACTGACATGCCAACACGGGCCCAGCAAAGTGCTAATGTCACGGGAAAAGAAAAGCTATAGTGAACAAGGTTTTAATCTTTTATGCTCAGCACACAAATCCAGTAGCAAATCAAATGGCATAAAATGTCTCATTTTTACATGTCCTCCCAACATTACAAAAAGGTTCCTTAAATCCTTCGGGTTTAAAGAAACAGAACTTAGACATACCAATTTCTACTGTAGCTATAACTGTCAGAAGGGGGAAAAAATGAACTGCTGTTCTTAGATGAATTTTCAAGCAATAGAATAAATACACAGGGTAGGTGTGGTGGCGCACGCCTTTAGTCCCAGTGCTTGGGAGCAGAGAAGCAAATGGATCTCACTGAGTTCAAGGCCAGCCTGGTCTACAGAGCAAGTTCCAGGACAGCCAGAACTATACAGAGAAATCATGTCTCAAAAACAAACAAACAAACAAACAAACAAACAAACAAAAAGAGTAAGTACAAGAGGAAAAGCACCTCCCACTGCCCAAGTTTCACTCCCATAGTCAGTACTCACGTTGACAACATGTCTAGCGGCAGTGTCAGCAGTGAGCTCACGGAGCCAGTAAACAAGCACTTGTAGATGCGGCCTACAACAAGGGGACAAGGGCACAGTCACAACTAGCAATGTACACTTGAAGCTGACTCAAGGAAGCAGAGGTAAAGTGGAACAGTACGGACGCCAAAAACACAAGTGTTTTTATTCTGTGTAGGCCTGAGTCTCACACTGGGTTTTAGCTTTTGTTGTTTTGTGTGCGTGTGCATGGTTGTCTGAGTATGAGCACCCACATACCATGGTTGCATGGAGGTCAGAAGACAATTTTCTGGAGTGGGTTTTCATACTTTACTACTGTGGGTTCCAGGGATGAAACTCAGAAGCTTATATGACAAATGTTTACCTGCTGAGGCATCTCACTAGCCTCAGCACATTACTTCTTAGCCAGGCAGTGATGGCACCACACACCTTTAATCCCCGCCCTCAGGAAGCAGGGGCAGGTAATCTCAGAGTAACCAAAAATAAAAACAAAAAAAAAAAAAAAAAAAAAAAAAAACAACAACAAAAAAAAAAAAAACCCAAATCTACTTTTTAAGAGCACAAAAATATTAAGTGAATAGTAAGTTCTCCATGACAATGCTGGCTGATCTCTGGAGGACCAGACTGAAACTAGGGCCTCACACATGCTAAACAAGAGCTCTACACTGAGCTACATCCTTAGCTCTCCGTATCTTAGACTGACATTAATTTAGATATTGGAATGGCTAGATTAATGATAAATCATAACATGAAGATTGTTCTTAAATCTAGAACTACAAAATCCAGCAACTATTCATAATAACAAAAGATTTCAGTTTGGGAAATGAGTGTCTTCAACTTGAGAAGCTTCTTTAGCACGGAGCATAACCCTATGACCTTCAGGGACCAGTGAAATGGCTGACCCTGGCAACGTCTGCTCACCTTCTTTAAAAGTTTCAAAAGATCTCAAAGAATATCTTAAACTATGGCCTTGGAGGGAAAACACAAGCATAAGAGAATTCACAGTCATCCTTTACTCTCCTATTCAGAAAGTAGAATGGTTTTTAGTGAGAAAGGTAGAACTTAGAGAGAATGTGGTAACAAGACCACATAGAAATGAACTAAGGAAATTCCAAGTTTTCCTTCTCAACACTTCTTGCACATTAGTTTAAGCATTGTCCTTAGTCACATCAAACATTTTCAATGAGTTCAGTGGCTTCTTTTAAAGGTAAAATCAAAAATGGCACAATGGAAATCACTACATAGCTATATAAAAGGAAGCAAACATGCTTACAGTAAATAAAACTAACAAAGCAACCATCAGTCAATAGATAAATTGGTTGGGCAGCATTAAGGCTCTTTAAAACTCTGGTGTATACTAGGAAAGAAGGATGAGGAACAGAATTAAAAGGAAGAGTCTGAGGGCTGGAGAGATGGCTCAGTGGTTAAGAGCAATTCCCAGCAACCACATGGTGATGCACAGCCATCTATAGTGGGATCTGATACCTGTTTCTGGCATAAAGTTGTACATGTAAATAGAGCACTCATATATATATAAAATTTAAAGTCTGTAAGAGTATGAATTATATGATGCACATGTGTGTATGGAAAGTTAGGACAGAAATCAAGCTTGTTAGGTTGAACTCCAATGTTCACATCTGCTAGACTGCACTGGTCTGCTGATTTTAGAAAGGCATGTCGTCTTCCACCTTAACTGAATGATTTTTTTTTTTCTTTTTCATTTATGCATCATGTACACCAAGGTGGACTCCAACTGGGGATCCTCCTGCTTTAGTCTCCAGAGTTTAATAGGACTGAGGTGTGCATCATTTAAAAGTTTAAGGTGGCAAACATTCTGAACAATTCAGTCTAAGAAAGTGTATTTTGTTCTTCTGAGTATATTTAGGGGGTGAGGAATTGACATTTAAAAAACTATCATATGGAACTTTGCCACGGTCTTCTAGCATTCAACAAGCTGACTTTGTGTCTGGTTTTCTCCACGTTGCTGGGCACTCTGGGAGTATAATATCACCACACACTGACCACCATCACCACCCCACCTGGCCCTGGAAAATACGAGCCTGTTTTGGTTTGTGTCTCCTTTCTAACAGAAGTATCAATTCCTCATCTCCAATAACCTTACCTTGTAGAACAACCTGCTGGCAGTTACTGAAAGTGCCATCTCTAGCTCCCATACTTCCTTGTTTGTCTCATATTTGATCTCCTTTGTCCCCCTGAATTATATTGTAGAACTCACTGGCTCCACCTGGCCCACTGAGTCACTCTCCATCAGCATTTATGATTTTTATCTCCACAGGTTCTCAAGCTAGTTTTACTTAAAGAGATGTGAGGATGTGAATCACATGTATTTAAAACCCTTGAGTGTTTTAAAATCCATAGAATCATACCTATATACTCTGCCATTCATGAATTATCAATACTGCTCCATGTCTTTAAGAAAAACACCCTTCCCTCCTCCAGAAACTCACTGAAGATGTTTTCTAAACAAGGCTTTCCTAATATATAATATAAATCAAATAATTAAACATCATCCACAGTATCAAGCAATACAATTAAAATATTAGGCAATTATAAACTGTTTAAATAACTCCAGAAGAGGGATAAATACTCACATGCTGTAAGAGGAACAACTCCCAACCATGCAAAGGCCACAAGTGTATAATGAAACCAGTATCGTATTGCAGTGCCAATACTTGTAACCAGTCCAGCAAATATGTCTTGGATTGGTAGCCGTGAAGGCATATCTGGAGAATAAACTGCAAGAGGATTTCATGAGGACTCTTAAATTACTTAATTCACAAACACAAAGAAGAGATACTGTGCATAAGTATTTTTCGTATATACCACTGGATGGCAAATCGTTACAATAATACTACATTTATACAAGTTATTTATACAAACCACAACTAAAAATGGAAATGAACAAAAGGACACTGAGCAGAGAAAAAGCATCAAGAGGATGGGCTGTGACAGTCACTTCATGAGGAACCAATAGCACACTGTTGTCACTTAGCCAACCCTCCCCCAATTCTAAGGTCTTAATTTTCAGGTGATAAATTCAGACATACTAGGAAATTGTAAATCGGATGTGGTTCAAGAATAGACCCACATTCTAGAAAATATCTTCATAAGAATTGTTCCAATAAAAACTGCTATTTATTAAAAAGTTCTACTCCAGCCAGGAGGTGGTGGCGCATGTCTTTAATCCCAGTACTCTGGAAGCAGAAGAAGGTGGATCTCTGAGTTTGAGGCCAGCCTGGTCTACACAGAGTTTTCTAGGACAACCAGGACACACAGAGAAACCTTGTCTGGAAAAACAAATTAAACAAAAAGCTCTCTACTCCAGATAATATACATTGTCTTTCAAGCACCTATTACTCCAAAGATGTCAAGACAAAAAAAAAATTGTTATACAAAATCAATGATCTAAAATTTATAAAACAGAGCCGGGGGGAGGAGAAAAAATAGTAACTAAAACTAGACTGAAAGACAATGCTATATCTCAGATGCAGAGTGCTTGCTTAGCACGGACAACATGACAGAATTAACCCTAAGCAGCCAAAAAATAACAAAAACAAAACATTCAAGAGCAGCATCGCAAAACCATTCATTCACAAACTCAAGCAATCAGCCATAACAAATGGCAAGTCTGCACACACCACAGCTCACCCAGCCAGCTGGACACTGGGTGCAAAGGACAGTAGAGCTTCCAGAGAACGGTCTACAGAAGTACTACCCAGATGCCAGGAGAAAAGTAAGCACACAAAGCAAAGTGAGCTTTTGTTGGCCCCAAAATAAAAGTTCATAAGATATTTTCTACCAGTCAACTTCATAAAGACATCAAAGATCTAGTCCTAGTTTGCTATAAATCTTCACAAGTAGTAATGGGATTATACACAAGAGAAAATAAGGGTTATGAAGGAATACAAGTGGCATTTTTGCCGACAATGAATAAACAAAACACAGAAACTTTAACTATGCATGTTTGTCAGGTATCAAGTAAAACTAATCAGTTACAGTCGCTGTACCGAGAAGCACAAAAATCTTTTAAAAACCAGGTGCAATGTACAAGGATCCCAGCATGAAAACCTATGCTTCAAACTTTTAATAATTTGCCAGTATAGTCCTGTTTATTTTATATAAGAGTATTAATCAATAGGGCACAAGAACAATTAAAACTATAGACATCTGAAAAATAGTTACTGAAGCCTTACAACACAAGTTTGCTTCCCGAGGCTGGGGAGATAGCGTGCAAACATAAAGACCAGGGTTAAGGTCGCCAACATCCACACCATGCTGGGTAAGCATGGGAACCATGACCTGCCTGCAATTCCAGTACTAGAAAGGTGGGGGACAGAAGACACAGGAGCAATCTGGCTGGCTAGACTTGTTGAGATAAGGAGTTTAGTATTCAAATAAGATTGAATAATATATAAGGCAAGGATACCCTGTTTAGGTGTGATGGCCCACACCTTTACTCCTGGCACTCAGGAGGCAGAAGCAGGCCTATCTCTGTGAGTGTGAGCCCGGCATGTTCTACATAGTGAGTTCCAGGACAGCCAGGGCCAGTGTTACACAGAGGAGCTCTGTCTCGAATGAATGAATGAATGAATGAATGAATGAATGAATGAATGGGTGGGGGAGCTCCATATCCATCTCTGGCACACTCGATCACACTCACATACGCTTACGCTTACACATACACACACACACCCCCCACAGGCACACATACCCTTCTCCCCTACACTCACGTGTACCCACAGTCAAACACACAGACATTTCAAAAAGAGAAAGTGCTCTAGAACTTGCTCTTTACTGCTCAAGATAAACAGCACCAGATTCTGATGAAATCAAACTGGTTTTACAGAGATCATGTTTCTTAAAAGGAAGGAAGGAATGGTGACACATACATACGTTAAAACTGACAGGATTTCTTCTAAAAAGGACAGCCTAAAAGAAAATTAAAGACTAATAGTAGGAAATGAGAGCACATATAACGAGACAGGCCATGTGAGTAGAAAAACAAGTACCATAAACTGGTGGGTTTTCACAAGCACTATATACTTCTGTATATGTTTACGCTTGTCTTAACTCAGCAAAAACACAAAGAAAAAAGAACAGAGACTATAAAAACATGCCTGGGTGTATTAAATTAAAAGATGACCATTTTAAAAACATCCTTCTACATGGAACAGGTTTTTTCCTACTACTATTAGAGACAATGGTTGAAAATTAATGCTTTCAACTCTTTAAGTACCTTTCGTTGCCAGAAATAAAAGAAAACTGTAGTGAAAAATGTCAAAGAAACTTACTTGGTGTAAAAGCGAATCTGTGCTTGCATAATTCACAGTATTCTTTTCGACTGTGTTTCAACCACTGAACTAAGCTGTAATTACAAAGACATTCATGAACACAATATTTAAAATAAAGCCACATTAAGGTTTCATTAAAAACTTGTTTTTTTAATATTCCACATGTGTAATATTTTAACTTTTTATACATGTATATAACTTAACAGATAAATACAAACCAGTATACATTATATCAATAAAACTTGAATTAACCAAAATTCTAATCTCTTCAAAGCTAAATGAATACTAAGTAACAGTAAATAATCCAAGGCCAGCATCAGTTTTGATAATGCCCTCACAGGGATCACAGCTGGTAACCAGGTCTGAATTCCTGTTCTGCCCATGGCTTATGTGCTTAGGACAAGTCATTCAACCTGTCCATGCTCCATTTCCTCATCCATATAATAATGTTCTAGACTTTTCTTGCAAAAATGAGTTAAGATGTATAAAGTTCAGAAGTCCTTGGCACAGAATATTTAGTAAATATAAGCTATAATTACATGAGAAAACCGTAATTCTTCCCATAAACAAGTTCTCAATACTAGAAATAAACAATGGGCTATCATCAGCATATCTACAATATACCAAAATAACATGTTTGGTATTTAACTATGGGTATTTGCTTAGTCAAACTATGTATTTTGTTATAAATCTTTATATCAAAAGTTTTAAAAATAATGAATTATGGGTCCAAGTTCACTGTGATGATCATTTTTATTACAGAGATAATAAAATTGAATTTAAGAATTATACAGTTTTTCAAGTGACTTACCATTCTTGATGAATAAACTTAATACTGCCAGTACATACACAAGGATGATAAAGAGGTTTCTCGGGTGTTCCTTCTGACCGACAAACTCTACATATGTCTGATAACAAAGGAGAAAAAAATGGAAGTACCTTTGGTTACGATTTTTATACAGAAAGACTAACAAAACAAGATTTTGTGCTAAAAGTAAAATCTATCACATCAATCACTAGAATGGAGACCTGAAAACTGTGATGAAACTTTTATTAAAGGTACGTCAAAATCTAAGTACATTCCTTCAGAATGCATAAAGATGAGCTGTTCCTTAGAAAGTTCTGTAAATAAAGCTGAAAATAACAAAAACAGTTTAATTTATCTACACTTGCATTGCCCTATAACAAACAACCAAGTAAGCAGAAACAGGTCACCTAGCCACAAATATTAGTGTAATAACATTTTAACTTTTTTAAAGTCTAAATCCAGTCCTAAGGGTTATTAAACACGACAAAGATATCTGAGAAAGAAGGAACAATGAGGTCAAAATATAATGTCGTACATAAGAATGCAAAAATGAAGTCCATCGCTTTGTATGCCAATCTCAAAATTATTTTTGAAATAAAATTATTTCTAAAATTAGTTTCAGGGAGCAGGAGAGATGGCTCAGTGATTAAGGTCACACTGGCTGCTCTTCCAGAGGACTCGGGTTTGATTTCTAGCATTCATCTGGTGGCTCACAACTGCCTGTTTCAGGGGACCTAATGCCCTCTTCTGCCCACTGCAGGCTCTGCATGTACATGATACATGCAAGCAAAATACCCATACACATTAAATAATTTTAAAAGTAATTATGTTTTTTAAAAAGCCATGTCTGAGGACTTAAGACCACAACAGCAGAGGAATGCACAGTAGATTCCATTTCCTTGTCTCAGGTACAAGGAAGGAAACTGGAAGCAGGAGAGCACAGGAACACGTATGCACAAACACAATTAGGACCCAAGGAAGGCACCTCAGACAGGACCTGGCAGACTCTATCAGAGAAAGGGGAACCTGAAGCTGCTTTAAGCTGAAGCTCTAGAATCCTGCCCAAGGCTGAAGAGTCATTAACTATGGACAGCAATCCCTACCCTGGCACTAAAGGGCTCTAGGCACACACCTCCTGCCCTCCCACACCTGTGGCAAGCAAGCATCTAGGAGGAAAACCTCAGGAGATCTTCTGTATTCTCCTGCTCATTTCTCCTAAAAGCTACTCTGCAGTACCTCATACTGAAAATTTACTATTGCTACTAGTCTTTTCAGCCATCCCTCACAGCCAAGTGCCAATTAATTCCAAAGGCACCGTCAATGTTCAAAGGGGGCAAAGACAGCATTTGCTTCTGACTTCTCTTACAGGGAATTCCTCTCACCCAATGGAAAACAGCTGTAACTCTGATCCTTGCTTCACTAAGGAACTTAGAGGGCCTGTGATAGCCTTTGGATTAGAAGACACACAAGCTGAGTATGGTGGTGCACCAGTCCTAGCCATTTGGAATTATTATAGACTTTCTGGCTGCTCATTCTTGAATGACAAAATGTTGTTTATCCAAGCCAAAGAACACCAAACACTCAGGAAAATCTAACTGGTTATTCCACTACTTTCCCTGTTTACCAAGCAACCAGACAAGTCTCTTGGTCAATATGGAAAAGTCACACTCCCCTGCCCACAGAAGAGCTATCTCACAGCTCAGTTTCTGTGGCAGAGTTTAATGAAGTTGCACTCACTGCCCTTTCCTGCTTGGAGTTAGAAGTGATATGCATTCCCCTTCCTGCCTTTGAGAGAGCTAGAAGTTTAGCAAGGCCCCCTCTGTGAAAATGAACCAGGATTACCCATCACCTGTGATCCAGGTTAGTCACTCCCATAGTAGAAAGTGCAGCCAACACACAAAGGTGACACAGCCACAGGAGCTTATAGCTGAACTATGCTATCTACAAGTACCAGAGCCACTAGCTTTAAAATTATCAGTTATCCAGGAAGGAGATGAATGCTGCCCAATGTCCTACATATCACCACCACAATGAGTACTGACACAGGCATTCATTACTGTAGATCAACCAAGGGGACAGAATGATGTGAGTTAATACAGGTGGCTCAGTACCAGATATGGTTCATCAACAGCCCTCCTTTGACAATGCTCCATGGGTACATGATCCCCCTCCCCCCTCCCCAAAAAGCAGTAACAAAGACAGGCTCACATGAATGGGTAACTGCCACATCACTCACCCTCCAGGGAGGAACAAGATGACTGGTCAGCTACCAAGTATGGTTTGGGAAAGAGCAAGGATGGAACTGTGGTCAGCAAGAGACAAGGGTAAGAATGAGTGAGGTAGTGAGGTCAGAACTACCTTCTAGCAATCCTCTTTAACTCCCTGCTGAGCCAGTTTACAGAGGGTTCTTTTTTTTTTTTTTTTTTTTTTTTTCTTTTTCTTTTAAGACAGGTTGACTTTAAATTCAGCACTCTCCTGTGACAGTATCCAAATGCTTGGCTTATAGACAGAGAACACCACATCCAGCTTACAGTGGTGTTTGCAGAGGGCACATGATACAACATACTGGATGTTACCACAGATTTAAAAACATCCAGCTGTTGTTCTATTAAAGACAACTGTAAATATAAACCAGGGATGGTACCACACTCCTTTAACCCCAGCATTCAGGAAGCGGAGGCAGGTGGATTTCTGCATTTGAGAACAACCTAGTGTACACAGCAAATTCCAGGATAGCCAGGACTACATACATAAATGGACCATCTTTGAAGGAAGGAAGGAAGGAAGGAAGGAAGGAAGGAAGGAAGGAAGGAAGGAAGGAAGGAAGGAAGGGAAAAAGAAAAATAATATAAAATTTAAAAAAACCTCTTCTCATCAATTTAGGGGATTTGGAATATTCAGTTTTATGAAAATAATATCACATTACCATAATGAATATGCTATTTAAGTAAAATTGAAAATGGTTCCCCTTCATTTTCTAATATAACAAAGCTCTTCCAGGTGTTTAAGAGTCAAAACCTCAGAAGTTTGAGAGTCAGACAGGGCTAAGGGGATAGGTCAGCAGGTAACAGCATGACTCACAAGTCTGACAACTGGAGTATGACCTCTGGAACTCACATAAAAAGCTGCACACAATCACCTGCATCTTCAGCTCCAGCACCATCACCTGTGGGAAGCTGTGTTTGCAGGGCTGCAGCCCAAGAAAGACAGCTTCCCACAAGCACCTGTGTAACAGGATGGGTGGTAGAGACAGGACAACTGCCTGGAAGCTCACAGACTACCTAGCCTGGAGTACATAGCATAATAGCAGAAACAACATGAGAGCCTGTCTCAATAAGGCTGAATGAAGGCAACAATCAGCTCCTCAAAGTTATCCTCAGATCTCAGAACATTCACTGCTCACTTTGTGTGTGTGAGAACAACACATTTTTTTTTTTTTTTTTTTTTTAAAGTTTGAGAGCCACTGTTCTTTAGTAATTGTTCTGATACTTTTTTTTTTTCTCTTTGAAAAAGGGTGGGGGTGTCAGGTAATGGCAATGATTCTTTCCAAGCAAACATACATAAAATTATTATTAAGGGCCTCCTACACTTAAACTAATTCTATGGGAGAAAAAGTAAGGTAACTGCAAACTGCTCATGAATTTTGTTTCAGAACCATGGAAATTGTTTTTATAATTACAAAACAAAGTTACATCAAAATGGGAAATAAGCAACTCTTAAATGAAAACACAAATTAATAAACCCAAATAAAGCATGTCATGACTAACCACAAAAAAGAAATGAAGACATTAAGACAGCACTATGGAGTTGGTGAGATAGCTCAGCAAGTAAAGTACTTGCTTTGTACACTGGATGTACTCATGTAAAAGAGAGAGAGAGACAGACAGACAGACAGTCAGACAGAGACAGAGAGCAGACTCCACAAAGCTGTCCCCTGATCTCCACACACAGTGTGCCACGCCCATGCCCACAGATACACACAATAAACAAATATAGTTAAACAAAACAAAACAAACAAACAAACAAACAAAAAACCCAAAGAGACAGACAAACCAGCAAGGGCTGGAAAGATGGTTCAAGAGGCTAATAGCATTTGCTACTCTTGTAAAGGACCTGGGTTTGGTCATCAGTGCTCACATTAAACAGCTCAAAACTCCAACTCCAGTTCCAGGGCATCTGACAATTATGTGGGTACTGGCACACACAGGTGCACATTTATACAAGCAGGCACACACACATACACCAAAATAAAAATCAATAAATCTTAATAAAAAATTAAAGCCAGCAATATACTCAAACATCCCTAAGAGACTATACTCTAAGACGGGAAATGCAAAGAAATTCTGTGTATAATTAACTGTTACTACAAACAATAAAAAGGCAGAATTTATATAAATAATATTTGTGGTCATTTAGAAATTTATAGGTCAGAGGCTACAAGAGGGCTCTAGTATGTGGCTAATCTTAATGCATACAAGATAATAGGAAAACTCACATTAATAATTTTCTTATCTCACTAACTCCCCCCCCCCAGCCCTTTTCTTTAGCACGATAAACACTGTACTGGCAATAGTTCCATCAGGGGAAGAAAGAGAAAACATTTTAAACAGTATTCACCTCAACGTTACTAAAAGTCAACAATCTAATTCAACTTCTGCCACCGAACCCAAATGCCACATGAAAAGAATGTGATCCTAGCCCTCCCTCAGCCAATGAAAGCCCACAAGCCATCAACCACCTAAATTACCAAGTACACAACCCACCAAAATGACTTAAAGGGGGGAAAAAAAAGAAAAAGGTTTATTGTGACTACAACTACCACAAATAAAGAGCCACTTTTCTCACACTCTGTGGCTATCAGGAAACCCTAAAGGACAAAGCACCCACTACTAACATCAAAGGGAGTCAAAGGAGGAGGAAGACTTTCACTTTTCCGCTGGTAGCATGGAGCTGGTACCTCTTCTACCTGCACATCATAAAAACAACCTGTTTAAAACAAAACCCCAAACATTTTAATAAGAACCAGAGGCCACACACAAACAAAAAGTATCCACAGTACAACTAAAAAATCACTCACACCAAGCCTAAAATAAACCACAG